AAAACCAAAAAGGAAGAACACGCTCAGCATTTCTCAAGCTGGGGGAACTGAAGAAAAAATTCAAGCCTCGACTTTCATTATTGAAAGATTATCTGGGCCAATTATTGAATGATGCAGAAAGCATCAAAAGACGATGGAAAGACAAGAGGGAACCTAGATCCAGAGGGCCTGGAGGAAGGTAGAATCTCCAGTGAGTAGTATTCAATTTGACTAGCCAGGGCTGATGCAATGAAATGCAGACGGGTCTCTTGTGATACAATAGTGAATAATTGTTATCAGGACTGATAGTGAGGGTCAGAAATGTAAAGGCAGACGTTTTATAGCAAAGAGGGGAGTGATTAACTTTTCAGTCTAAGAGCAGAGGTCCCTAGGACCATCAAGGGAGAAGAGCAGAGAGCGGCGGGACCCTACCCAGAGAAGCGGTGATGCCTGAAATGGAGCCAGAGATGATGACGGGGAGCGATGGAGCAGCTGGAGACTTTAGATCCAGAGAGGGAGACGGACTGTGTGCTGAAAACCTGGGGGTACTGGGGAAGGATTGCATGGAGGGGATTGTAACCATGGCAATGAGACAATATATGATAGAATGAATGTAAAACTAATGTTTTCCCCTGTAAACTATCACAGAATTCACAATAAAACATTTAAGAAAAAAAAGAAGAAGAAGAAGATGGAAAGAATACACAGAGTCATTGTACCAAAAGGAAATGGTAGCCAACGGTAAATTAGACTGTGTGACCCAACGGAATGCGGAAATCATTGAACAATCTCTTTGATATCCCATGCAAGTAAAGTTATACTAAAGGTAATACAGAAACAGCTGCAAGTATACATTGACAGAGAATTACCAGAGGTTCAAGCGGGATTCAGAAGAGGCCATGGACCAAAGGATATCATTGCTGATGTCCGATAGATCTTAGCTGAAAGTAGAGAATATCAGAAAGATGTTTACCTGTGCTTTATTGACTATGCAAAGGCTTTTGATTATGTGGATCATGACAAGCTATGGACAACATTGACAAGTATGAGTATTCCAGAACACTTAATTGTACTCATGACCAAGAGGCAGTTGTTCAAACAGAACACAGGAACACTGAATGGTTTCAAATTTAAAAAGGTGTGCGATAGGGTTGTATTCTTTCACCAAATTTATTCAACCTGTATGCTGAGCAAATAATCCAAGAAGCTGGGTTATATGAAGACAAACGTGGCATCAGGATTGGAGGAAGACTCATTAACAACTTGTGATATGCAGATGATACAACCTGAAAGTGAAGAGGACTTAAAATATTTACTGATGAAGATCAAAGAGCACAGCCTTCGGTATGGATTGTATTTCAATGTAAAGGAAACAAAAAGCTTCACCACTGGACCAATAAACAACATTCTTATCAACAGAGAAAAGATTGAAGTTGTCAAGGACTTCATTCTTCTTGGATCAACTATCAACACTACGGAAGCAGCAGTCAAGAAATCAAATGTTGTTTTGCATTAGGCAAATCTGCTGCACAAGACCTTTTTAAAGTGTTGAAAAGCAAAGATGTCAGCTTGAGGAATAAGGTGTGCCTGACCCAAACTATGGTACTTTCAATAACCTCATATGCATGTGTAAGTTGGACAGTAAATTAGGAAGACCATAGAAGAATTGATGCTTTTGAGTTGTGGTGTTTGAGGAAAATATTGAAAGTGCCCATAGAACCAACAGATCTGTGTTGGAAAAAGTACAGCCTGAGTTCTCCTTGGAGGCCAGGATGACCAAACTTCATCTCTCATACTTCAGACATGTTGTCAGGAGTGACCAGTTGCTGGAGAAGGATATCATGTTTGGTAAGGTGAAGGTCAGAGAAAAAGGAAGACCCCCAGCGAGGTGAATTGGCTAAGTGGCAGCATCAATGGACTCAAGCGTGGCAACAATAATGAGGTTGGCCCAGGATCGGGCAGTATTTTGTTCTGCTGTGTATAAGATCGCTATGAGTCGGCACCAAACTGGATGGCACTTAACAACGACAAAATACGCATGGGAAAATTGGACAGTGGTTAAGGAAACCCATAGAAAAATTGATGCATTTGAGTTATGGTGTTGGAGGAGAATATTCAAAGTACCATAGATTGCTAAAAGAACAAACCAATCTGTGTTGGAAAAAGTACAGCCAGACTGCTCTTTGGAAGTCATATTTCGGACATATTTTCAGGAGGGACCAGTCCCTGGAGAAGAATATTATGTTTGGTAAAATGGAGGGTCAGAGAAAAAGAAGAAAACCCCCAACAGGATGGATTGGCACAGTGGCAGCAGCGATGGGCTCAAATGTAGCAACGATTGTGAGGTTGACGCAGGTCTGGGCAGTGTTTCGTTCTGTTGTTCATAGGGTCGCTATGAGTCAGTACTGACTTGATGGCACCTAACAACAACAACAACAAGGTGCCTCACTCAATCACTCAAGCCAAGGGTTCTGACCTCACCCTAGAGCCGGTCACCACAAACAAGGAACCTTGGTTATTGTGAGACTCCATCACTTCCTGTCCAGCTACACTTCCTTCAGGCACACAGGGCTACTTTTTCTCGAAAACAGTATTTCCATTTCCCGATATATTTGTAATGTTGTGTGTCCTCGAGTCTTTTTCTAGCATAATAATCCAATGTGACACAGTAGAATGGCCCCATAGGTTTTCTTGGCTGCAACTTTTTCAGGAAGCAGATCACTAGGTCTTTCTCCCCACAGAGCCATGAATGTATTCTAACCACTAATCTTTGAGTCTAACGCTTAAGCTTTGCATGCTGCCAGGACTCCTATTAAGGTCTAACATTTGGCTCCAATCAGAACATAGTTATATCATTCCTTTGTTTTTCACTTTTTAAAATACCAGCTTTACTGAGATATCATTAACATACCATGCAATTCACCCTTTTAAAGTGTACAATTCAATAGTTCTTAGTAAATTCATTGCCACTTTAGAACATTTTCATCACCTCTAAAAAAGTCTGGTATCTATTAGCAGTTACTCCCATTTCCCTCCCAGTATTCCCAACCCTGCTGTTGTTAAATGAGTAGGTTCAGACTCATGTACAACTGAGGGAAAAACTACCTGGTGCTTCGCCATCCTCACAGCTGTTATGTTGAAGCCCATTGTTGCTGATACGGTGTCAGTCCATTTTGTTGGAGAATCTTCCTCTTTTTCACTGACCCCACTTTTCCAAGCATGACATCTTTCTCCATGGACTGGTCCCTCCTGATTATAGGCAAAGTCTGAGAAACGAAATCTTGTCAGACGAAGTCTTATCCTGGTTTCTAAGGAGCGCTCTGGCTATACTTCTTCCAAGACAGATCTGTTTGTCCTTTTGACAGTCCATGGTACTTTTAGTGTTCTTCTCCAATGTCATAACTCAAATGCACTGATTCTTCCTTATTCTATAGCCTTCCTTATTCATTGTCCAACTTTCACATGCCTATGAGGCTACTGAGAATATCATGACTTGGGTCAGGAGTACCTTAGTCCTCAAACTGAAATCTTTGCTCTTGAACACTTTAAAGAGGTCTTTTGTAGCACATTTGCCTAATGCAATACATTATTTGATTTCTTGATTGCTGTTTCCCTGAATGTTGATTGTGCATTTGAGGAAATTGAAGTCTTCGAAAACGTCAATCTTTTCTCCATTTAACATGATGTTATTTACTGGTCCAGTTGTGAGGGTGCCTTGTTGTTAAGTGCCGTCGAGTCAGTTCCGACTCTTAGTAACTCTGTATTGAGTTTCCGAGAAGCGGCTAGTGAGCTTGAACCACTGACCTTGCAGACAAACCGACCTTGCAGTCCAGCACATAAACCCACAGCGGCCACACCAGGGCTCTTAGATAGCTTCAAAAAAGAGAGAGAGAGAGGACGACCATTGGTGATACATTTCCTTCTTACCTGCCTCCCACCCTGTAAAGATTAATTGCAGGCCTCACTCACCTCAGATCCCCAGCACCCAAGCACAGCACCAGGTACAAGTATGTGTATTGTTTGGTTCAAGAAATGTTAATTAATGAATGGACGTGCCTGACGGTGAGCCGGCAGGACTCCGCCCTCCCCAAGCCCAGCACCGTTGCCCAGCTCTGGACACTGCATTGGGGTAGTGGTGGCAACGAAAGGGTCCTTTAGGAGCGAGCGCCGCGAGTGCTGTCTTGCTGTCTCGGAGACTGGGGCCGCAGCCTTTGTGTGTAAGCTGCTCTGGGCTCCCGCCGCTGGGGGGCGACCTCCACACCGCCGACCCCCAACAATAGCGCGAAGGGTGGGGAGCGCCGCGGTCCCGGAAACTTTTCCCTGGTGCCTTGGCGGCCACTGCCTGCGCCCGGGAGCGCGGAACTGGGCGCGCCCATCTCCGGCCGCGGTCGGTGCACTCAGCTGGACTGCAGCGGAACCCAAGAAGGGGGCACGGGGCAGCAGGGTCCTCCGTCACCCAGCCCGGGGCTACCCGAGGCCTGGGGAGCGACGCCCGGGTCCGGGCCACGCGGGAGTCTCGGACATTGGGTCGGTCGGACGTTCCAAACCGAGCCGAGCCATGGAGGAGGTGTCCAGCTCCGCACCCGCGCCAGTGCTTTGGGACTGGGACTACCTGGACCATTGCTTCGCTCACCACCGCGTCTGCATCTCCTTCGGCCTCTGGATCTGCTCCTCCTCCTGCTGGATCGCCGCCCACGCGCTGTAATGGGGACCGGGCCCGGGCAGTGCGAGGGTGGGACACCGGGTCTGCAGTAAGGGTAATGGGGAGCGATCATCCTCCTCTATGTAACTCTCGCCTGGAAGTGAGCGTGCTAGAGGCAGCACAATTCTAGGACCGAAACTAACGTTTAGTCTGAAGTCGAATACTTCTTTCCGGATTCCGCACACAGGGAAGCTGGGCTGCCAGCCAGCAAGAGGGCTGGGTGGTCAATGAATGGAGCCCTGGGCTGGAAACCACGCGTCCTGGGTTCTAGGATTATCCCTTTCCCATTGACTCCAGACGTGAGCTAGGACAGATTCTGGGGCGGAAATCCATGTGAAAGTGTTCACTACGGATTAATAAATAAACACCAGTAAGCCTTTGCTTACTGGATACTCTGTGCCTGTCAGGGATCATACATTTGAAAAGAGGCTTTGATTTTGTAGGAAGGTGCTGTGGAGTTGGGAAAGAGGCCTATGTCAGCCAGATCTAGCAGCAGAATCTGCTATGGTGAAAAAAATGTAAAATTGCTCACTGCAGATCCTTTAGTAAGCACAGGTCATCCCGTGCTTACCTTGCTTATTGAGTAATCTGACACGGATTTAACTGCAGTGATTAAGTTTCTGCTATAACCCTCCTGTTTCCTTTTAGAAAATAAAACCTGCCAGCTGGTTTGTCAGTGCTGAGTGGTGGGTCGTTGAATTGGGACTGACTAGTCTGTGGAAGATCATTCCTCATTAGAGAGGTGATGTGTTTCCTGAGGTCTGACTCCTGCTGTGGATGTTGACAGAGGCTCACTAGTCTTTTTGACCCTTTCTTGTCCTGTCTAGAAACTAAGAAAAGTTCAGAAATAACTGCTGATTATGTGGTGCAGAAATTCTCTGTAAGGATACAAAGTCATGATTGTTCTTTTCGGACACCTGCCTCTCCTGTTTTGACCACACTGTTGTCTGTCTCCCAGGCTTCTCTCCCTGAGATGTACAAAGAAACCTGGACAGGACCAGTCAGCACTGTGTGCTGCGTGCTGCCTCCTGACCAGCCTGTGTGACACTGTTGGGGCTGTCCTGGCCAGACAGCTCACCATCCAGGTATGTCTGGCCCACAGGTATGCCCCGTTGGGCTCAGGCTTGGCGCTTCCTTTCTCTGCTGAAGCACAGTGATTTCTGTCATGTTCCTTCAGCATGTGAGGCATGGTCTTGCTCAGGGCCCGTGCCCTTGAGTTCTGCTGCACTTTTGATGCTTTTTTTTTTTTTTTTTCCAGATATATATATTATATATAGCCACATGCTTCCCTGTTCACCTCCTTTAAGTCCTGCACAGAGGTCATCTCAGTGAGGTCTCCTTTGACCATATGCTTAAAACTGAGCCCTACCTTTACCACCAGCACACCTGAATTCCCCTCTCTAGTTTTTTACATAACCCACTCCTCCTAAACAACTATACACTTCACTTCTTGATTATGTTTATTGCTTATTGCATATTGACCCCAAAGAATGTGAGCTGCACATGGACAAGAAATTTTTTTGTTACTTTTATTCACTGCTGTACCTTATCATCTAAATCATTATATATATAAATACATTAAAAATACTATATATATATTTGCACTTGGAACATGGTAGGTGCTCAGTAGACAGTCATGGTTATTGTCGTAAAGCCCTGAGTCCAGCCCCAGCTCATACAGATGTGGCCGAATTTTACCCAGGTGGTAATATGGGCTCAAGGAGCCCTGGTTGTATATAGGTTATGCATTGGGCTGCTAACTGCAAGGTCAGAAGTTCAAATCCACCAGTCAATCCACAAAAGTAAGAGGAAGCTTTCTGCTCCCATAACGATTTACAGCCTTGGAAACTCTATACAGGGTCTCTAGGAGTCATAACTGACTCCAATGTATACCACCATTACCAGCAACATGGGCTCAGGAGCAAGTGAGGAGCTGATTTGGAGTTACTCCAAAGACTAAGCCCTCAAATAAACCTGTGTAGAGGATCCCTACCCCAAAGCACAGGTCCCAAGGAACTTGCTGGATATAGGGACACTGCAGGGGTACGTCACAGGATGGGTCCTGGTCTTTGTCCACCCGGGAAGAAGTGAAGAAGGGAACATGAATTTAGACAGTTCTAGAAGTATAGCACCGTAGGATAAGCACTGGATTCCTAACTGCAAGATCAGCAGTTCAAACCCACCAGCTGCTCTTCAGAGACAGGGTCACTATGAATCAGAACTAACTCAGTGACACTTAATAACAATAACAATATTTATTAAGTACTTAACAAATACAAAGAACCCTCGTGGCACTATGGGTTAGTCATTGGGCTTCTAACCACAAAGTCGGCAGTTCAAACCCACCAGCTGCTCCAAAGGAAAAAGATGAGGCTGTCTGCTCCTATAAAGCTTTATAGTCTTGGAAACATTATAAATGAGTCGGAGCCAATTCAGCGGCAGAGGGTTTGCTGTTGTTGTTTTAACTAATACCTGGCACAAAAGGCCTTTTGTCTAATAACTCACTTAATACTCACACCACCCAATAACATGAGCGTTGTCATTGCCCTTGTTTTACTAAGGCACCCACCCACTGCAATTCCGGCTCATAGTGACCCTATAGGACAGAATAGATCTGGAGGATTTGAACCACTGAACTTGTGGTTAACAGCTCACAAACACCACCAGGCTCTTTACTGAGCCACAGGGAGGTTAAACAACTCCTCTGTGGTCACTCACCTAATGAGTAGCAGTGCCAGAATTCAGGCTGCAGAACTCATGTCTTTAACTATGGCGCTGTGGGCTAATGTGTCAGACTGCAAAGCCGTTTGAACTGCGAGGTTGGCGGTTCAAGTTCACCAGCCGCTCCTCGGAAACCCTATACAGGGTCGCTATGGGTCCTAATCGACTCGACGGCACTTAACAACAACATACTGTCATCAGAGCTAATGTATTTATAGGTAGCTTTCCTCCACAAGGGACGCTAGTGGCACTGTGACTAAGTACTTGGCTGCTAACTGAAAGGTCAGTTTGAATGCCCTTGTAGCTCTGTGGGGGACAGACGTGGCAGTCTGCTTCTGTAAAGATGTACAGCCTTGGAAACCCTACAGATGGGGCAGTTCTGCTCTGTCCTGTGGGTCACTGGAATTCACATTCAGCTGGAGGGCTGGGGGTTTGGTCTTTTGGTGTACTTTCCTTCAGTTGCTGTTCTAAGCACTTTCCACGTATTGGGGTATGTTATCTACTTAACAGTCTTTGGGGAAGGCATTTTCATGATCTGTTTTACAGATGAGGAAACGAAGATCTAGACAAGCTCAGTGACTGGGCCAAAGTTACACAGAAAGCATAATACCCAGCAGTAGATAGAGTGAGTACAATAGGAGGTGGAGGGCTGGGTTCTCATCCCTCTGTGCTGATGGGCATCTGGGGTCAGTCATTTAAGCACCTCCTCCTTATCAAATGTGGATGGTAAATGGCCTTTCTCAGGGCTGATGGGAAGCTTCACTGGGCTAGTTAGAGGTAGAAGCACTACATCAGTGGTCGTGTGAGAGGAGACCTCCCCTTCCTCCCCCAGGACGAGAGCTGCTGCTGCTGTTGTTGTTGTTGTTAAGTACCATAGCAACCCTGAACAGGGTTTCTGAGGCTGTAAATCTTTACAGGAGCAGAAAGCCTCATCTTTCTCCCATGAAGCAGCTGGTAGTTTCCAATTGCTGACCTTGCGGTTTGCAGCCCGATTTGTAACCACTACACTACCAGAGCTCCTGAGAGCTGCTGTAGATGCTGAGAAAAGATGTTTGAACAGCAGGCCATTGTTTCCATCTCCCTCCAGGTTTTCACCGGTGCCTACCTAGCAACTGTCGACTTAGTGAACTTCATGTTCATTCTCTTCCCAGTCTGCAGCTCCAAATTCAAGTCACATTCGGGTGAGTACGTGGCCAATGGCTCCTTTCTTCCGTCATCTAATCATTTGACTACTCCTTGTCACACCCCATGCTGGGCTCCTGCCAGGCACAGAAGAATGCACCAGGCCCCTGACCTCAGCCACTCAGAGCTGCCAGTGCAGAGGTGTGTGCATGGCGTGGGCAGCCAGAGGGAGGGAAGGGGCTGCAGATATCACAAAGGGCATCCTGAAGAACAAGAACAGCATGGCCAAGGCCAGAGAGACGAATGCCGCATGGCTCTGTGGACTGACAATGGTGTCTTGGTGTGCACATCCAAGGTGGCCAAGCGAAGCGCCTGACTTCCAGAAATGGATACCAGGTGTGGCCTTGGTTTCTTAGTGCTGCTATAACAGAAATAGCACGACCAGGTGACTTTAATGAACAGAAACAGACTTTCTCACAGATTGTTGATGTTGAGTGCAGGCCACTCACTTTCTACTCATAGCAACCTGTATAGGATTTCCAAGGAGCAGCTGGTGAGTTTGAACCACTGACCCTGTGATTCAAACTGACCTTGTGGTCCAGTGCTTATCCTACAGAGGTTGAAGTCCGAATTTAGGGTGCCAGTGTCTTTTCAGCTGTTTATCCTCAGTCCCTTGTCGATTTTCATGTACCATCTGGCTTCCCCCATCTGTGTTTCCTTTCTTCTTTTTATATCTCAAAAGTGATTCATTTAAGACATACTCTACATTGATATGGCCTCATTAACTTAACAAAGTAATCCTGTTCCCCAGTGGGATTCTATCCACAGGTCTTTGTTGTTCTGTGTGCTTTCAAGTTGGTTCTCCCTCACATTGACCCTATAGGAAAGAATAGAAGAACTTCCCAATAGGGTTTCCTAGGATGTAATCTTTATTTATGGGAGAAGATGGCCAAATATTCTCTTTCAAGGGACTACTATTAGGTTCAAACCACCAAAGATCCTGTATCCACTGGTATAGAGGTTAGAGTTTGCAACATATATTTTGGGTGGACACAATTCAATCAATAACAGACATTATTGTTGTTGTTAGGTGCCATGGAGTCAGTACTGGCTCACAGCGACCTTATGCATACCTAAGGAAACACTGCCTAGTCCTACGTCAATCTCACAATTGTTGCTATGCTTGAGCCCACTGCAGTTGCAATTGTATCACTCCATCTTGTTGGGGGTCTTCCTCTTTTTCCCTAACCCACCACTTTAGACCAAGCATAATGTGCTTCTCCTGATAATATGTCCGAAGTATGAGAGATGAAGTCTGGCCATCCTGGCTTCTAAGGAACATTCTGGCTGTACTACTTCCAACATAGATTTGTTTGTTCTTTTGGCATTCCATCATACTTTTAATATTCTCCTCCAACACCAAAACTCAAATACATCAATTCTTCTGTGGTCTTCCTTTCACATGTATAAATGATCTGTCCAACTTTTCACATGAATATGAGGTTATTGAAATTACCATGGTTTGGGTCAGGCCCACCTCATTCCTCAAACTGACATCTTTGCTCTTGAACACTTTAAAGAGGTCTTGTGCAGCAGATATGCCTAATGCAGTAAGTTGTTTGATTTATTGATTGCTGCTTCCATGAATGTTGGTGGTTGATCCGAGCAAAAATGAAGTCTCTGAAAACTTCAATCTTTTCTCTATTTATCCTGATGTTATTTATTGGTACAGTGGTGAGGAATTTTGTGTTCTTTATATTGAAGTGCAATCCATACTGAAGGTTGTGATGTCTGATCATCATCAGTAAGTATTTTAAGTCCTTTTTACTTTCAACAAGCAAGGTTGTATCATCTGCGTATTACATGTTGTTAATGAGTCTTCCTCCAATCCTGATGCCAAATTTTTCTTCATATAATCCAGCTTCTTGTATTTGCTCAGCATACAGGTTGAGTGATAGATACAACCCTGATGCACACAATTTATAATTTTTAATCATTTAGTGATTCCTTGTTCTTTTCAAACAGTTGTCTCTCAGTCTACATATAGGTTACTCATGAACCCAATTAAGTGTTCTGGAATACTCATTCTCTGCAATGTTTTCCATAACTTGCCATGATCCACATGATTGAAAGCCTTTATGTAGTCAATAAAGCACAGGTAATGCGCCAGGCTGCAAAGTCGTTTAAATTGCAAGGTCGGCAGTTCAAGCTCACCAGCCACTCTTTGGAAACCCTATACAGGGTCGCTATGGGCCAGAATCGACTCGACGGCACTTGACAACAACAACAAACATCTTTCAGGTATTCTGTGCTTTCAGCCAAGATCCATCTGACATCAGCAATGATATCCCTTGTTCCACGTCCTTGTCTGAATCTGGCTTGAACCTCTGACATTCCCTGTTAATGTACTGTTGCAGGTGTTTTTAAATTATCTTTCGCAAAATTTTACTTGCGTGGGATATTGATGATACTGATTGATGATTTCCACATTCCATTGAGTCACCTCTCTTTGGAATGGGCACAAATATGGATCTCTTCCAATTAGTTGGCAAGATAGCTGTCTTACAAATTTCTTGGCATAGATGGGTGAGTGCCTCCACGTATTGTATTCCATCAATGCCTGGAGATTTGCTCTTTGCCAGTGCCTTCAGTGCACCTTGAACTTCTCTTCAGTACCATTGGCTCTTGATCATATGCAACCTCTTGAAATGATTGAACATCAACCATTTCTTTTTGGTACAGTAACTCTGTATATTCCTTCCATCTGCTTTTCATGCTTTCTGCAACATTCAGTATTTTGTCCATAGAAACCTTCACTATTGCAGCTTGAGAAATGCTGAGCATGTTCTTCCCTTTTAGTTGTCTAACTCCTGATATTTGTATATTTCATAATAATATTTGACTTTGTCTTCTCGAGCTACCCTTTGAAATTTTCTGTTCAGCTCTTTTACCGCCTCATTTCTTCCATTTGCTTTAGCATCTCTAGGCTGAAGAGCAAGTTTCAGATTCTCTTCTGACATCCATTTTGTTTTTTTTTTCTTCTTTCTTGTCTTCTTAATGACCTTTTGCTTTCTTCCTGTATGATGTTCTTGATGGCATCCCACAACTCTCTTGGTCTTCAATCATTAGTGTCTAATGCATCAGATCTGTTCTTGAGATGGTCTCTAAATACAGGTGGGATATGTTCAAGGTCACATTTTCGCTCTCATGGGCTTGTTTCATTTTCTCCCACTTCAGCCTGAATTTATATGTGAGCAATTGATGGTCTGTTCCACAATCTGCCCCTGGCCTTGTTTTGGCTCATAATATGGAGCTTTTCCACCATCTCCTTCCACAGATGTAGTCAATTTGATTTCTGTGCATTCCATCTGGTGAGGGCTATATGTATAGTCATTTTTTATAGTCATGTTGTTTAAAAAACGGTGTTTGCAATGAAGAAATCACTAATCTTGCAGAATTCTATCATGTGACCTCCAACATAATTTCTGTCATCAAGGCCATACTTTCCAACTACGGATTCTTCCTCTTTGTTTCCAACCTTTGCATTCCAATTGCCAGTAATTAGCAATACATCTTGATAGTATGTTTGATCAATGTCAGACTGAAGAAAGTGGTAGAATTCTTCAATTTCATCCTCACTGGCTTTTTTGAATAATAGTGGCTTTAATTGGTCTTCCTATCATAGACAGCGTTGTACTTCAACATAGATCTTGATATGTTCTTTTGGATGATGAATGTGATGCCATTTCTCTTCAATTTGTCATTCCCAGAATAGTAAATCATGTGATTGTCAGATTCAGAATGACCAATACCAGTCCATTTCAGCTTACTAATGCCTACTATATTGATGTTTATGCGTTCCATTTCATCTTTGACAACTTCCAATTTTCCTGGATTCATACTTCATTCATTCCCTGTTTTGATTATTAATGGATGTTTACAGCTGTTTCTCCTCATTTTGAGTTGAGCCCCATCAGCAAATGAAGGTCTTGAAAGCTTTACTGCATTCGTGTCATCATGGTCAGCTGCGATTGAAGAGGCAGACCTTCCCAAGTCGTATTTTGAGTGCCTTCCAACTTGAGGGCTTTATGTTTCAGTACTATATCCGACAATGTTCTCATGCTTTTCATCATGTTTAAATATTCAATATTCTGGTGCTTTCTGAGAGTGTTTCACTGCTATTCACAAGGTTTTCAGTGACTAAATATTCAGAAGTAGTCCGTCTATCCTTCCTAGTCTGTCTTAGTCTGTAAGCTCAGCTGAAACCTGTCCACCATGGGTGACTCTGCTGATATTTAAAATACCATTGGTATAGCTTCCAGAATCACAGCAACAGCAAGCCACCGCAGTACGACAGACGGTGGTGGTAACAAGTGGTGGTAACAGACATAAACTACCTCAAGCAAAGTTGGACAGGGAGTGACCGATGGGCTGAGTTCTCCTGAGCAGGTAGGCTTAGTCCATGGTGGGGTTAGGGGTGAAGGTTCCTGAGAAGAGGCAGCAATGTGCCTGCTAGACCCTCATCTCAAAAGAGGAAAGTTGCCCACAGCTGTTAACTGAGCAATGTTTTTATTAGAATTGTTCAGAGGTGTGCCAGTCATATGTCAAAGAAACTTTCAAAGATGTGTTTAGAAATAACATCTCCTTGGGTTAGGTTTGGTGGTGGGGTGGGGGGTGGGGGTTAGGTTTAGCCTTGTTTTTTTCTGATTGCCAGAAAATAAGGTCTAGTAATGAGCAGAAGATAAGGCTGCTGTGCTAGGGAGGAGGAGGCAGAGGTTCTCAGCCCTGAATGTGCACTGGAATCACCCCAAGATCTTTGAAAGCACTCAAGCCTGTGAAGACAGTTAGTCACAAAAGGATGGGCACGCAACCATCTCACTTATATGCCGTATCTAGAATGTTTTTGTTAAGTGCTGTCAAGTCAGTTCCAACTCATAGCAACCCTGTATAGATTTTCTGTGAAGCAACTGGTGAGTTTGCACTGCCCACCTTGTGGTTCAAGCAGTCCAGCGCTTATCCTACAGTGCCACACCAGGACTCTGTATCTAGAATAGGCAAGTATATAGAGACTCCAGTTCATTAGGATGACCAGGGGTGGAAAGGAAGGGAAAGAGGGAGTCATTGCTTCAGGGATGGAAACATTTGGAAATGGATAGTGTTGATAGTTGAACAAGATGAATGGGATTAATGTCACTGAATTGTACATGTCAAAAATGTTGAAATGGCAAATGTTTTGTTAAATGTAGATTTACCACAGAGATGAAACGAGGTTTCCCTAAGCTGAGGGCAGGGCGGTTTTCCTTAAAAGGAACTGTTGGAAGTTCTACATTATTGTCTGCAGAGACTGCACGGAATCATACTGGAGCCTAATACATTCATGCACTTTTGCTGATTGGACACAAGAAATAACAAATACTTAGCTGTCAAGACCTTAGATGTCAGTGATTGACTTGTCTTATATACTTAAGAGTAGATTTTACCCACAGCTCAAATTGCTGTTGTGATTAGCCACAGTTATAACAAGAGTGACTCGTTCTGTGACAGAGTTATGGATAATTTGTGGCATGTTCAGTCAGTTACTGAATCACTACATTTCTAGCTCCTTTCAAATAAAGGAACACTTAACTTGGTAGCTGCTACGTTTTGATAGCTCCTGTGGAGGTACTGGTGATTAAGGCAATTGGCTACTAACTGAAAAGCTGGAGGTCGGAGTCCACCCAGAGGAAATAAAGGAACACTTAACTTGGTAGCTGCTACGTTTTGATAGATCCTGTGGAGGTACTGGTGATTAAGGCAATTGGCTACTAACTGAAAAGCTGGAGGTCGGAGTCCACCCAGAGGCACCTCAGAAGAAAGGCTTGGTCATCTATTTCCAAAAAAGCAGCCTTGAAAACCCTACGCAGCATAGTTCTACTTCAACAGCCATGGCATTGTCAAGAGTCAGGTGGACTTGATGAAAACCGCTAACTGAGCATTTACAGTTACATCTCCTCTCCCCTCTCACCCTTTCCACTAGAAACTCACAGTAGGACATTTTTGCAAGGAATGTTCTGTGAGTTTGGTGCCAATGAACACTTGAGGGTGTTTCGTGCCCATTTGTGGGAGAATTAGTAGGAAACCCTACAACCAGATGATGCCTGGAGGTTAGAATTTGGGTTGTGGATCTCTTTGGTTATCCATTAGGCAGCTGTCTTCATGGAAACATCCGTTGATTGGGCCATAACTGAAATTCCTTTCCTTCATACAATGTCAAGAATGAATTGACCAAAATATTTGCTCTCGAATATCCAAATTTTGGATATTGTTTGTCTTTGTTATTATTTATTCAGGTACGGAGTCTAATTTTTTGAATGTATCTTAGTTTCATTGTCCTTGTTTTGATCTAACTTGGAAATGTAATAAGCACTTCCTGCTGAACTTCCCTCTAGAACAATAGTTTTCTAAAGTACTTGAGTGAAATTCCCTGCTGTGGTGCTGTAGGATAAGCACTGGACCACAAGATCGTTTGAACCGCAAGCTTGGCGATTCAAACTCACCAGCCATTCCTCAGAAACTCTGTACAAGGTTGCTATGAGTCTGAAACTACCAACAGCACTTAACAACAATGTCACTAAGAAGGAGTATAGTCGATTATGAGTTGGGCTGCTAAGCTCAACGTCAGTAGCTCAAATCCACCAGCTACTTCATGGGAGAAAGATGAGGCTTTGTGCTCCTTGGAAACTTACATAAGTGGAAACTGACTCAATGACATGCAGCAACAACAAGCTGACTGATTTTGAATATTTACTTTTATCCAAAGCTTGGGTAGACTACTAATTTGTAGTGTTTAAAACAAATAAATTGCATTAGTAAAATACAGTCAAACCTGTGAGAGCCAGAACTCATGGGACTGCCTTGCTTTTCCAGTTCTCAAAAGTCTTCTGTCTTTGACAAGGCACATTTTCACTACTTTCTATTACCCTGGTGTGGAGCTGTGGGCTAAGGCACTGGCCTGCAAAGTTGGTTTGAATTGCAAGGTTGGTGGTTCAAGCTCACCAGTCACTCCTTGGAAATTCTACACAGGGTTGATATGAGTTGGAACCAACTCCATGGCATACACAACGACACCAACAATCACCCGTTTCAGTAGAAAACTTTTGGGTTTTTCTTCTCTCACAAGTTTCAATCTTCCACTGGTTTCAGTGTTTGCAGGGTTTACTGTATAACTCAATGCTTTCAAATTTAAAATGAAATTTCTATAGTTAAAGTATCTAATAAAAACATTTAAGCATATTAAGGTGGGGAATACCTACTCTGGTGTCCCAGTGCAGAGATTCTCTGTCCCTAATCTGGGTGTCATGCTGTGTTAAAGCTCCTAGGTGAGAAACACTGGGACCAGGGTAGGTCAGAAGGATCAAGATGAAAGAGGTAGGCTAAAAGGAGAGGTGCCTGCCTTGTGGTGGGACATCCTGCAGGGGGCCAGAGCCGTGCTGTCTGAGGAAAGGAAGAAGGCTTAGCTGGTGTCTGATGTCTTTCCAAACAAGATCACGAGGTTTGTGGTCAGCTGCCCTCCGAACTACAAGAAACATTGGCATCTGCTCACTGGCTCAATGTTCTCTGTCCTGCTTACAGTTGGGGTGCCTTTGTTCAGACACATCCACTCATAGCTTTGTTCACCATGTTTGTGCTCTGCTTTGCCAGGACGCACTGCCTGCCTGGGGTGGGCCACAGGTCTTGTAGTGGTGGTGGTGATAGTGTGCCATGGAGTCGATTCCGACTCATAGCGACCCTGCAGAGGGTTTCCAAAGAACAGCTTGTGGGTCTGAACCGCTGACCTTGTGGTTCAAATTGACCTTGCAGTCCAGTGCTTATCCTACAGCACCACACCCAGACTTGTGTTGCTTTATGTAAGCAGATACATGTGAGAAAAGAGAACAAACATCCCTGTCTTGAGTCATCCAATGCTATGGAAGTCACAGACAGGAGAGCAGTGTCCAGTGTGTTGGGGAGAGTGGAATGGGGTGGTGGGGAAGAAAGACCTCTCAAAAGATGGGGTCAGGGAATCTGGCCTATACAACAGTGTGGGGCCCATTCTGTCATCGGAATCGGGGGCTGACACTGCTTCAGGAACCATGTGGGATTTGGGTGTCTTGCAGGCCGGGGCTCCCGGGAGAGGAAGAGGAAACTACGGCTCAGGGTGGGCATATTTGCTCTGGCCCTGCCACTGAGTCTGGGCCCAGGCTGGGCTTTCTGGGCATCTGTTCCGAAGGCTTCAGACCCAGTCCAGGGGCCACAGAGGAGACTTCTGGGAAGCCTGCTGCAGGTGAGGCTGAGTCACCATGTAGTGGGGAGGGATCACCCTCCTCATGATCCCTAGGAAGGGGGACCATAACCTTTGCCAATGCCAGGAGGAAGCTGCTGAGACATGAGACAAAGCCCAACAGGCTTTGCAGTCTCCTGGCTGCATGGACAGTCTCCGAAGACTGCTGAGGGCATGTCTCCTCTTCCTGCAGGAAAATATTGAAGTCTTCGGCTACCTGCTGGGTGGGATCGCCGCCTTCGGCTCCTGGGCCTCCCGGATTCCTCCACTCTCCAGAATCGTGAGCCTGGGCTTGGGACTGGGGCTGGGGTTCCTGGTGGTGGCAGGTTTTAGGGCATCTGGGAGCATCCCTGTTACAGGCCATCAGGGCAGTGGTGAGGAGTCGCTGGGGCTGGGGAAGGTGTATGTGCACAGTTACTGAACATCTGAGGGTCCGCAGTGTATATCACAGCGATGGCAGAGGTCCTGAGGACTGTTTGAGCCTCTCCCAGGGAACCCATTTCTGCCTCTTCCATCTCTTGTCACAAATGAAAAGCAAGGTCTCAGGAAAAGACTTTTGAGGTTGGATAAAGAAGCCTTCCGTTAGGGATTAAGAAGGTTTTAACAATATAATTTTTCAGTTTTGGGGGGTTCTGTGTAATTCAGGCACATTTTAGTTGAATTTATCAGGCTTTTTCAAGCACTAGGAGTTAGGATGACCCTGGGGAGGATGCAAACATGAGTTGAGATGCCATGTTTGCCTTTGGGGAGCTCATAGTCTCATGAAAGACACAGAGATGTGAAACAGTATAGCTTAACGCTCTCAGACTGATATAGAATCCAGGTGTGGTGCTGTAGGATACATACTCAACCACAAAGTTGGCTTGAATCTCAAGGTTGGCAATTCAAACTCACAGCCTTGAAAACACTATACAGGGTCACTATGCGTTGGAACCGACTCAGCAGTACTTAACAACAACAACAGGTCTGATGTGGAGGCAGGGTAGTTCAGTGATAAAATTTTCACTTTCCATGCAGGAAACCTGGGTTTGAGTTTTGACCAACACAACTCTATGTAGCCACTCTGTCAGACAGACGTGTGGCAATAATGAAAAATGGAGAAAAGATTGAAGTTGTCAAGGACTTCATTCTTCTTGGATCAACTATCAACACTCACAGAAACAGCAGTCAAGAAATTAAACAACGTATTTCATTAGGCAAATCTGCTGCACAGGAACTTTTTAAAGTGTTGAAGAGCAAAGATGTCAGCTTGAGGACTAAGGTGCGCCTGACCCAAGCCATGGTATTTTCAATAACCTCATATGCATGAGAAATCTGGATCGTAAATAAGGAAGACCATAGAAGAATTGATGCCTTTGAATTATGGTGTTGGAGGAGAATATTGAAAGTGCCATGGACTGCCAAAAGAACCAATAGATCCGTTTTAGAAGAAGTTCAGCCAGAGTGCTCCTTGGAGGCCAAGATGGCCAAACTTCATCTCTCATACTTTGGACATATTGTCAAGAGGGACCAGTTGCTGGAGAAGGATATCATGTTTGGTAAGGTGGAGGGTCAGAGAAAAAGAGGAAGACCCCCAACGAGATGGATTGGCCAAGTGGCAGCATCAATGGACTCAAGCGTGGCAACAGTAGTGAGGTTGGCCCAAGGTCAGGCAGTGTTTCGTTCTCCTGTGCATAAGGTCACTATGGGTCAGTACCAACGTGATGGCACCTAACAACAACAACAACAATAATGAAAAACAGACTTTAGTGGAACTTCCAGACTAAGATTAGGAATAAAGGTCTGGTGATCTACTTCCAAAATTCAGCCAATGAAAACCCTATGGATCATAGAAGTGTGGTCCACAACCAATTATGGTTCAGGACTTGTGCAAGGGGGTCAGTTAACAAAGAAGGATATAAACAAATGTTTGGAGTTTCAGAAGAGAGAGAGAAGTTTCCTATGCTATTCACATTCGTGAAAGTGAGAACTGCTTACACAGTAGTTATAGGTGGGCATGGGGGCCCTTCACGCTGACTCAGAAGAGAACGTGGAATTCCAGGAGAATTCCAGCATGAGAAAAGCCACTAAGGCAGGAAAGTATCGGAGAAACAGGTTCACGAATGAAAAATAATAATGGAATTTTCCCATAAACTTTTTGAAGTCCTCTCATATTTCAGAAAACTGTTGCTATCGCAGAAACACCTGACTGCATGTAGAGTGTAACAGATTCATAAATTTAATTTAAAAACAAACAAACAAAAAGCCACTTGCTCAAGAGCCATGGTTTTGTAGCAGTTCCAAGGGCACAGGATTTGGGAAGTTGCTAAAACCAGAACCCTCAGGAGGCATGGGGCTTCAGGAGCAAAAGTGTACCGCTCAGGTTAAGGAGGGGTGATTGGGGAGCATCGTGCTGTTCACGGTCCACCCAGGGTGGTGTAGAGGTTCAAAGCCACATCACAGTAAGATGTCTGAAGGACCTGACACCACACCCTGACCACCCCACCTGACATGGCTCCAAGCCACCCTACCACTCTGTCCCTTCCCTCTGCCATATTTTTTCTTCTAGTGTTTATCACAACCTGAAGTGAACTCCTCTATTTACTTACTAAGTCATCACGCCACCAGAACATCAGTGAATGAGAGCAACATCTGTGTCCGCTTTATTCTCTGCTGTATCCCAAGTGTATACACAAGGAAACCAAGGAAGCTTGTGGGTGCAGGGATCAGCAGGCTGTCATGGGACAGAAAGAGCAGCCCTGTTTTCCGCAGTTTCAGAATACAACTAAACCAAGCCTGAGGGATGGGGGCAGAGAGAGTGTGTGTGGATGCTTGCTTTGGGGAGTGGGGGCGTCACTTTCCATTCAGTCAAAGGAAGAACTTCACGGGGTAGACACACTTTTGCATAGTAGCTGGCATGTCAAGAGCATTTTTCTCAGTATTGATATTCCTGATAGCTGCCTTTGAATATGGTGGGCTTCCCATCACAGGCAGCATTCAAGCCTCACAGAATGAGTTTGTTCTGGGGATTGGGCTGGTCATCTCTATGGTGCTGCCTGTCCTAAGTACCTGTTCTATGAAGAATAGCCCAGAGCTGTAAAAGAATTGATGCCTTTGAGTTATGGTGTTGGAGGAGAATATTGAAAGTGCCATGGGCTGCCAAAAGAACCAATTGATCCATTTTGGAAGAAGTGCATGCAGCCAGGGTGCTCCTTAGAGGCCAAGATGGCCAAACTTCGTTTCTCATACTTCAGACATATTGTCAACAGGGACAGGTTGCTGGAAAAGGTTATCATGTTTCGTAAGGTGGAGGGTCAGAACAAAAGAGGATGACCCCCAGAGAGATGGTTTGGCAAAATGGCAGCATCAGTGGGCTCAAGCGTGACAAGAATTGTGAGGTTGGCCTGGGACTGGTCAGTGTTTCGTTCTGTTGTGCATAGGGTCACTATGAGTTAGTACTGTCTTAATGGCACCTAACAACAACAACGGTTCCTTTATTAGGGTTTGGACTGTTCTGAGAAGGCTGACCAGCATGGGACTGAGACCCTGATTCCCCCAGAGCTGCTTCTGATTTATCCACTGTGGGTGCTGAGTAACAATGGTCTGTCTGGTTGGCATCGGTGAGGAAACCTCCCAACCCTCCAGGAATAAGTATTTAAGCAGGATGAGGGCCGTGAAATGCTCCCTGATCAGTTAAGTACCGTGGAGTCTGTTCCAACTCATAATGACCCTGCATAGGGTTTTGAGGCTGCAAATCTTTACGGGAGCAGAAAGCCTCATCTGTCTCTTGTGGAACAGCTGGTAGTTTCGAACGGCCAACCTTGAGGTTAGCAGCCTGATTCGTAACCACTACACTACCAGAGCTCTCGCTATATATATATATATATATATACATATATATAGTTGTTGTTGTTGTTAAGTGCTGTCAAGTCAGTTCCGACCCATAGCGATCCTGAACAGGGTTTCCGAGGCTGTAAATCTTTACAGGAGCAGAAAGCCTCCTCTTTCTCCTGCGGAGCAGCTGGTAGTTTCTAACTGCTGACCTTGCAGTTCGCAGCTCAATTCGTAACCAGTACGCTATCAGAGCTCCATATATATATGTTGTTAAATGCTGTTGAATCGGTTCCAACTCATAGTGATCCTATTTAGGGTTTCAGAGGCATGGCTGGTGAGTTTGAACTGCCAACCTTACAGTTCAAACCAACCTTGTAGTCCAGCACATTATCCTGCATATATATATCACTGGATAATGCAAATAGTTAAGTGTTGGGCTACTAACCAAAAGTTGGCACTTCAGACCCACCTACACAAACCTTGGAAATAAGATCTGGCAGACTGCTTTTGAAAGTCCAGCCTTGAAAAGCCTGGAGGGCAGTTCTACTGTGGTGCACATGGAATCACCAGAGTCAGAATTGGCTCCAACTGGTATACCTGTGAAGGAATTTTTACATCTAAGTACTGCATGCATATGTCTCATTTTCTTTTTATCAAACTTCCCACGACTCATTCCCCCAAGATATCCCCTTTGCTTCCAACATCCCATGATAGCATCTCTAATCTTCCTGGCCTGGATCCAAATTGGTGGCCACAGGAAGAAAAGGGTGAAGCTTGGCTCTCCATAATTCAGTCATCCCTCGCTTCCCTCCTCATGAGCCCTTGTCCCACACAAGTTCCAGGGACCTTCTGTCTGTTGAACAGACAGGCGTATAAATAAGTCCATCACAGTAGAAAGTGCCAGAGAGAGCTACTCACTTCCCTCAAGGTGGAGGTATTAAGGAGAGATCTTCAGGGTCAAGTTTGAGTCTGGTTTTGAAATCCGAGTAGGAAGTTCATCGGGTGTATTAGTTTTGTAAGGTTACCATAACAAGTTGCCACAAAGTGGTAGCTGAGGACAACAGGGCTGCGCTCTCTCGGGGAAGATCCTCTCTAGTCTCTGCCAGCTTTTGGCAGCCTCAGGGATTCCTGGGTGTGTGGCAGCATACCACCAGCCTCTGCCTCAGTCTTCACATAGCTGTCTTTCCTTCATGTCTACCTGTGTCATTTCTCTTTTTATGAAAACATCAGTTCTATCTGAGTAGGGCCCACCTTTTGAGAACTAACTACATTGTAAAGACACAGTCACAGGTTCTGGGGGTTGTTGTTGTTGTTGTTAAGTGCCATCAAGCCTGTTCCAACCCATAGTGACCCTGTATAGGGCTTCCAAGGAGCAGCTGGTGAATTTGAGCCATTGACCTTGTGGTTCAAATCGACCTTGAAGTTTGGCGCATTAACCCACAGCGCCACACCAGAACTCCTGGTACTGGGGGTTAGGACCGCAATGTATCTTGTCGTGGGAGACACAATTTAACACACATCACCAGGCAAAGGAAACAGTTTCAGCAACAGTTGGAAACCTGACAGATGCGGTGTCCTTGGGGATAGGCCCTTGGCAGAGGGCTTGCTACCAGACTGTTTAGTCTCAGAATCCTGCCTGGAGAGGGAGAGCGGGTGGCAGTGTTCCTCACTGCTGAGCTCCTTCTTTTCTGTACCCAGTGCCAGGGGAAGACTTTTCCCTCCCTCCACCTGTGGATGCGGTTCCTGTTGGCTCTGGCCGGCCTCCTCTATGCCTCGGCCATTGTAGCCCATGACCGGCGGCCTGAGTACCTACTGCGGGCCACACCCTGGTTCCTGACATCCCTCAGCCGTGCTGCGCTGGACCTGGCTGTATCCACCTCAGGTCCCGGGTCTTGTCTGCCGGCCCCAGTAAAGTCTCCACCCCTCCTGCTAGTCTGAATACATAGTGCAGTTGTTCCAAGTTTTATGTTTTATTTTCAAAACTAAGAAAAAGCAATTATCTCTGGCTGGTGGTCTCTGAGATAGTGAAGACGCATGGAAGAATTCTTGGCCTCCTTGGTTTGAGTCTCAGTTCTACTCCCTACCTGGGCCTCTCACCCCAGCAGGTTCTGCTCTCCTGTGCACGCTTGCTCCCCTTTCTCACAAGGTTGGGAAAGGGCCTGTGGACTGACCCTCCAGGCACATGGGATTGGTGATTTCCTCTACGTTCTCTTAGACTGGGGAAGCTGAGATAGAAGCTGACAAATGCTGCCCCTTGGCAGTGGCCACTGAGCATCCTCCTGGTCCGCCAGTGTGCTACTATCTAGTGACCTTGGGCTGAGCTTCAAGGGCAAGCTAAGTTCCAACAGCGGACGGGTGGAACGTTGGAGACACCAACTGTGGACATGGTTTGTTGTGCTGTTGGTGGGGTGGAGTGGGGTGGTGTGGGTGAGTAATCTGTGGGTTTCACATAAAATAGCCCAGAGACTATGATTTTTTCATGTACTGTCTCTGGAAGCCAGAGACTGTTCAAGAACGATGCTTTTCAAAATATTTTTGTTTATTTAACAAGTAGTTACCAATTGCTTATAAGGAGCTGGAAACCGGGCCTTTGTGGTAGACAGGAGTCCTCAGCTGAGCTCCTGACTGTTCTGGAAGTCAGACCCAGGCAGAATGATATGGAGTGGACTGAGAGTCTTGAGGGGGACGCGGGGCAGGAAGGACTGGCTGGTGGCTGGACTCCAGGCTGCACCAGTGGGTAGAGAAGGGAGGGCAGGACTGGGTGGCTGAAGGACCTCCACTCCATTGTACCTTAACTTCCAGCATCTCAGATCATTTTCCTTTCCTGTGTGATGAAGAGCAAGATGAGGCGGGTCTTGGGACTTGCCGCAGAAGCCACAGAAAGCCCTGACACCCAAGCCCTTTTACCCTGTACAGAAAAAGATGAAGAAGAAAGCCAGGCGGTGCAAAGTGAGGACAAGGTCTCACCAATTGGAAACTTCTGGCCCGACTAAAGTGTTTAGTGATGTATACTGGACAGAATAGTAGGCTGGAGGAGGGGCAGGGGTTGGGAATCCCTGAAGTCCCTCGACATTTGACCAGCTAGTCACCTTAAAAACCCACTGTTCATGCCCAAAGCTGGAGTGGTGCTGTAGGTTAATCACTGAACTGCTAACCGCAAAGTCAGCAGTTCAAATCCACCAGCCACTCCTCAGAAACCCTATACAGGGTCACTATGAGTCAGAACAGACTCGACGGCACTTAACAACAACAACATGCCCAAAGCTGAGGTGATGCTGCATCTAATGAGATCCTCCATTTTCCTACGACCTGAGTTTTTAAGACATGTTTTTGATCACTTAATAAACATAATAGGTTTTTAGTGATGTCAGTGGTGCAAGCAGTTCACATGCTCGGCTGCTAACCAAAAGGTTGGAAATTCGAGTTCACCCCGAGCTACCTCTGAAGAAAGGTCTGGCAGTCTACGTCTGAAAAGCCAGCCATTGAAAACGCTTTGGAGCAGGATTCACTCTGATGCATGGGGTCAGCGCTGTGAGTTGGAATTGACTCCATGGCAACCGTTGTTGTTGTTGTTGTTTATTAGTGATGTCAATTAAATAGTCAAATGCCCACTTAGCTATCTTGTAATTTAGTTATGCATAATTATATACTACATAAATTAATGTACTAATTGAGGAATCGTGATTTTTTCTGATCATGTATTTCATTAAAAATCGTAATTATATAGCATATAATTACACTTAGTTATAACTATATACTATGTAATTTTGCATACTACATAAATTATAATTATATATGACTTAAATTAATATCCTAATTTAGGAATCATGTGATTTCTTTCCATTTCGTTAAAAAAATCCTTATTCCAGCTCTCACATGCCTCTTTGCCACTCCCCAGCCCCCACCGCCGTCCTATCCCTACCCGTGCTGCCAACAGAGCTTTCCAGAAGCAGCTTCTCCCTGGTGAGCTGTTGGGCTCAGCCCTTTGTGAGTCTGTGTATGGTACTGTCTCTGGAAATTCTTCTCATATCTCTAAGGTCCATTTGCCATTTGTGGTCTCTAAAAGTGTCCTGAAGAAGGACGTCCTGCTTGGTAAAGTGGAGCATCAGAGATAAAGAGGAAGACCCTTAAAGAGATGGGTTGACAAAGTGGCAGAAGCAATGGGCTGAAACGTAACAATTGTGAGGATGGTGCAGGAGCAGGCTGGGTTTTGTTCTGTTGTGCACAAGGTCCCTAGAGTCAGAACCGACTCTGCAGCACCTAACCACAACAACACAGTGTAACTGCTTACTAGATTGCTATTTTGTTGTTGTTTTCGCTTTCCTTTTTATTTTCTGTATTACTTTTACACCCCATATTGCTAAAAATTGATCCTTGCATGTGTTCTTTATTATAGTATAGTATGGTGTGGCACTGTTGGTTAATGCGCCAGACTGCAAAGCCATTTGAACTGCAAGGTTGGCAGTTTAAGCTCACCAGTTGCTCCTTGGAAACCCTATACAGTGTCACTATGGGTCGGAACCGACTCGATGGCACTTAACATAGTATAGTATAGTAATAGTATAGTATGGTGGTGGTGGCTGTGTGCCGTGGAGTCAGTTCCGACTCATAGCGACCCTGTACAGGGTTTCTGAGGCTGTAAATCTTTACGGGAGTAGAAAGCCTCATCTTTCTCCCACAGAACAGCTGGTAGTTTCAAACTGTTGACCTTGTGGTTCAACCTTGTGGTTGTAACCACTACACTACCAGAGCTCCTTAATAATATATAGTTTGTTGTTGTTGTTGTTATGTGCCGTGGAGTCGGTTCTGACTCATAGTGACCCTGTACAGGGTTTCCAAGGCTGTAAATCTTTACAGAAGCAGAAAGCCTCATTTTTCTCCCATGGAACAGCTGGTAGTTTCGAACTGCTGACCTTGTGGTTCACAGCCCAATTTGTAACCACTACGCTACCAGAGCTCCTTAATAGTATAGTATAGTATAGTATAGTATAGTATAGTATAGTATAGTTATAGTAATAGTATAGTATAGTTGTTGTTGTTATGTGCTGTGGAGTCAGTTCTGACTCATAGAGACCTTGTACAGGATTTCTGAGGCTGTAAATCTTTAGAAGAGTAGAAAGCCTCATCTTTTTCCAGCGGAACAGCTGGTAGTTTCCAACTGCTGACCCTGGGTTAGCTGCCTGATTCGTAACCACTACGCTACAGTATAGTAATAGTCACCATTTGCAGTCACAAGGTTGTACTACTAGGTAACAGTTAACATGTCTGGGGTAAATGTGTTTGTCGTGTATTTTACTGATTTAATCAGGTGACTTCTATAAGCAGTGGTGGTGGCTGTGTGTTTTCGAGTCAGTTCCAACTCATAATGACCCTATATAGGATTTCCAAGTTTATAAATCTTTATGGGAGCTGAAAGCCTCATTTTTCTCCCGAGAAGCAACCGGTAGATTCGAACTGCTGACCTTTCCGTTAACAGCCCAGTTGTAATCTACTACGCTACCAGGGTTCCTGACCTCTATAAGTAGGCAGACTTATTCTGACTGAGGTGATTTGTCTTCATCAAAAAGTTCTTGGCTCAGAAGTATTGAGAATGAACCCCACAACATGAGAGATTTTGCAAGGACTCCAGCATAGGTGATTCCCTCGTTTCTAAGATATTTTTGAGGGGTGATTCTCACCTTAACTCCAGCTCCTCACTATCTGAGGTCCCTATTTCAGACTAGGGATGAGGCTCACTGCTCATGAAGTAGGTCAATTGCTGGTTGTTGTTTTTGTTGTGAAGTGCTGTTGAGTCGGTTCCAACCCACAGCGATCCTGTAAGGGTTTCCGAGGAGCTTGAACCGCCGACCTTGCAGTTCAAATGGCTTTGTAGTCTGGCGCATTAACCCACAGCGCCACACCAGGATTCCAGGCCTATTGCTGGGGAGGAAGATAAAAAAGGGAAATTATTCATCCAAATTTCCAGGCTGAACACTCTAATCAGATTGTTGGGTCCAAGTTCCATGAAGACTAATGTGTGATGGTGTTTATTCTATCCTAGCAACTGTTGTTATTGTGTTTTTGTTAAGTGCTGTTGATTTGGTTCTGACTTGAAGCAACCCTGTACAGGGTTTCTGAGAAACAGCTGGTGGGCTTGAACCACCAACCTTGTGGTTAGCAGTCCACTGTTACCCTGTAGTACCACACTAGGACCCCTAATAACGGTTACTATCCCAGAAAGGAGCTAAAAAAATTCAAAAGAGCTCTATAGATCTTAGCATTTTGAAGGGAGGAAATAGCCACCTTTGGATCATCTTTCTTTACAGCAATGGTTCTCAAGTGTGGTCCTTAACTTGCATCATTTGTAAACTTAATAGAAATGCAAATTATGGGACCCCACCAGAAATTGGTGTGGGGCTGTAAGATAAGCACTGGACTGCTAACTGCAAAGTCGATGGTTCTTAACCCACCAGCTGATCCTTGGAAACCCTATAGGCAGTCACTATGAGTCAGAACCTACTAGATGGCACTTAACAACAAACACCAGAAACTGAAGGTGGGGTACAATGTACAATGGGGTACAAGTCCACTAGTGGGTGCCCACTAAAGTTTGAGAACCACTACTTAACAAAAGCATTCATTTGGCGCCTACTACCAAAAAGAATCGACTTGATGGCACTTAGCAACAACAAACAACCAAGTTGAACCAAAAGGTCAGTGGTTCAAACCACCAACCTTGCTTTTTGGTTGTTGTTATTGTTAAGTGCCATCAAATCGGTCTGACTCACAGCGACCCTGTATAGGGTTTCCAAGGAGCGGCTGGTGAGTTAGAAACACCGACCTTGCAGTTCAAACCGACCTTGCGGTCCAGTGCTGATCCTACAGAGCCACACCAGGACTTTACCTGATATTGGGTTTCTGAGACTATAAATCTTTATGAGAGCAGATAACCTCATCTTGCTCCTGAGAAGCTGCTGAAGGGTTCGACCAGTCAATCTTGTGGTTGGCAGCCCGGTACATATCCCACAGTGCCACCAGGGATCCTAGCACCTACTACCCAACCCCAGATCCACTGCCAGCCGGTCCGTTCCAACTCTTAGCAAACCTATACGGGGGGTTCTGGACTGTAAATCTTTGAGGGAACAGACATCCTCTTCTTTTCTACTGGGGAGCAGGTGAGTTTGAACTGCCAACCTTGCTGTTAGCAGTCCAGTGTTTATCCTACAGCACCACCGGGGCTCCTCGGAACCTACTGCAATGGTTCCCTAATTCTGCTGTACATTAGAATCACATGTTGTTTAGTGCCGTTGAGTCAGTTCCAACTCATTGCGATCCTGTGTAGGGTTTCTGAGGAGCAGTTTGGTGGGTTTGAACCACCGACCTTGTGGTTAGCTGTCCATTGCTTATCCTACAGTAGAATCACAGAGGCATTTTAAAAAAATTCAATACCCAGATCACATCCCACACCAATTAAATCAGAATGTCAAGGGGTGGAAGTTAAACATCAATTGTTTGTTTCTTAAGATCCCCAGGTAGATTTCACTGTGCCACAGTGTTTGAGAACCCCTGATCTATTTATTGTGTTTTGCTGGAGGTCCCTTGTCACAGCTTAGAGGGAGAGAGAAGATACATGGTATATGGAGCAGAAAGTGAAGTGTACTCTAAATGACTAGACAAAATACTTTGGGGTTCTTTTGCAGTGAATGGAACCTTGTGTTTTGAAACTGCCTGCCAGCTTTAAAAATTCCCCTTCCTGTCTCCCTGTCTCCACATAAAAGAATTCAGATTGGATGCCTCTCACCACACTACCAAACTGCAAGTCGTTCAGGACGATGGAAGCCATCAGCAGCTACATGAAGCTGACCATTGAGCCTGTGCAGCAGGTGAGCAGTTGTGGGCCATTGCCAGGTGTCCAAAGGCTGGGAAACAATCCTGGAAGGCTTCCTGGAGGAGGTTAACACTATAGCTGAGGGATGGGCAGGATAACATGTAAAAAGAGGAAGGCTATAATCCAAGGCTATAATGTAAGGACAGATGGAGAGAAGATGGGGATAGGGACAGATCATCACACTGTGAAGTCTGGCTGCTATCATCCTGAAGGTGATGAGGGAGTGGAGACTAGAATCACGGTGGTCAGTAAGAGACTGGGTCTAGTTCAGGAGAAAGGTAGTGAGACCTAAACCTAGTGGGAGCAGATGGATGGGCAGAGAGGGAGTGGAGAGCGAGTTGAGAAGGAGTCTTAGAGCCGCCGGGAGGCTATGGAGTGAGGGAAAGGTAGGACTTCAGGATGACTCTCAGGTCCCTGGCCTGCATGCCTGGGTCTGCTGGAGAAACCAGGAAAAGAGATGAAAACTTGTACTCTAGTTATCCTCACCGTTCCGTAAGACTATCCTGGTCAAGGTCACCGTAATCTTCCAGTTGTTAAATCCAGTGGTTGTTTCTGTTTAATTGGAATTCAGCTCATTTGGCCACTCAATTCTTTGGGTTTCTGTGGCCCACACTCTCCTGGTCTCTGCCACCTTCATTCTTCTCATGCTTCCTCCTCTTAGATTTGATTTTAAAGTTGGAGCGCCCACCCAGCTCTATCCTGGGAGGGTTCCCTTCTCTGTACATACTCTCTCCAGGTGACCTCAGCCCAGCCCAGAGTTTTAAATACTAACTCTTGGCTGATTTCCTGGGTTTGTCCTCTCCCTCTCCCCTCACTTCCAGTCTTAACTGCCCAGCTGCCCACCACCATAAGTGTCTTACACGTACAAGACCAAACAGAATTCCGGCATTCATGCTCAGAGTGTCTCCCTTACCCTACTTTCTCATCACAGTGAATGATGCTGCCGCCATTCTATTGTGAAGCCCAAACTCCTCTCTTCCCCTCACTATAAACCAGAAACCCAGTTGCCATTAAGTTGACAGTGACCCATGGCCACTCCACTTGTGTCAGAGTAGAACTGTGTTCCCTAGAGTTTTGTTTTTGTTTGAGAACTTTTCATTGTGATTTGGGTGGAGGTTTGCAGAGCACATCAGTTTCCTATTCAGCAGTTCATATTCGTACACCATTTGTTTCATGTCATTGATTGCAAATCCCACAATATAATATCACTCATCCCCTTTCCTCCCTGTGTTTCCCCTTTCTATCCCTCCTTCTTTCCTAACCCTTCCTGTCTTCTGACTGTTGTTCTTGGGCAAATGCTGCCCTTTTGATCTCAGATGATTAACTATTCTAAGGAGTACCAGTGTTATTCCCCTTATAGGCCTATCTATTGTTTAACTGAAGTAGATCACCAGGTATTTCTTTCGAAGCACCCCTGGGTGAATTCAAATGCCAATCTTTTGGTTTGTACCAAGCACTTAACTGTGCCACCAAGGGACTTCTCCCTCACTATATACCCTTTCAATGCATTGGTAAGTCTGTAATTACTACCTTTATAATCTGAGAAACTTGATTTAATGAAGAAGAATGTGACATCAGGATTGGATGAAGATGCATTAACAACCTATGATATGCATAGGATACAACCTTGTTTGCTGAAAGCCAAGAGGACTTAAAATATTTACTCATGAAGATCAAAGACCACAACCTTCTGTATGGGTTGCATCTCAATGTAAAGAAAACAAAACTCCTCACCATTGGACCAATAAACAACATCCTTGTGAATGGAGAAAAGATTGAGTTGTCAAAAACTTCATTTTGCTTGGGATCAACCATCAACACTCATGGATGCAGAAGTCAAGAAATCAAATGATGTATTGCATTAGGCAAATCTGCTGGACAAGACCTCTTTAAAGTGTTCAAGAGCAAAGATGTCAGCTTGAGGACTCAGGTGTGCCTAATCAAAGCCATGGTATTTCGCAGTGATATGCATGCGGAAGTTGGACAGTGACTAAGGAAGAATTCATGCATTTGAGTTATGGTGTTGGAGGAGAATACTGAAAGTACCATGGATTGGACTATCAAAAGAACCAACAGAACTGTGTTGGAAAAAGTACAGCCAGAATGCTCCTTGGAGGCCAGGATGGCCAGAATTCATCTCTCATACTTTGGACATATTGTCAGGAGGGACTAGTCCCTGGAGAAGGATGTCACGTTTGGTAAAGTAGACAGTTGGAGAAAAAGAGGAAAACCAGCGAGATGGATTTGCACAGTACCAGCATCAATGGGCTCAAACGTAGCAATGATTGGGAGGTTGGCCTAGGACCAGGCTGTATTTTGTTCTGTTGTGCATAGGCTCACTGTGAGTTAGCACCAACTTGATGGCACCTAACAATAATAACATAATCTGTGTATATCGAATCCAACAGAAAGCCATGGGTCTTGCGATCCATTTCTATACCTGCCCTATCCATCTGCACTCAGAAGCTGCAAGAGTCTTCCACAAATGCCACTCCCTATCTGGCTTCCCATTTAGCTCAGAGTAAAATCTAAACCCTTTACCAAGATTTCCAAGACCTACGGACCCAGTCTCATGCTCCCTGGCTGTCTCCTTCCTCTCTCCCTCGTCTCTCCTCTCTAATTGCACAGAAATCCTCTCCATTCCTCTGCCTTGAAGGCAGTTTCCCCTGTTTTATGACACAGCTGCCTCTTCTTGACTTCCAGACTTCAGTTTAAACGGCACTGTTTCCCAAAGGCCTCTCCTGAAATACCCAGTCAGAAGTATCATGTTGCCAGCTGCCTTTGAGTTACTTCTGACTCATAGCGACCCGATGTATGTCGTAGTAGAACTGTGCTCCATAAAAATTTCAATGGCTGAATTTTGGGAAGTAGATTGCCTTGCCTTTTTTCCAAAGCACTTCTGGGTGGAATCAAACCTCCAACTTTTCTACTGGGTGCCTTAATTGTTTGCACCACTTGTTGTTGTTATGTGCCGTGGAGTCGGTTCAGACCCATAGCGACCCTGTACAGGGTTTCCAAGACTGTAAATCTTTACGGGAGCAGAAAGCCTCATCTTTCTCCCGCGGAACAGCTGGCAGTTTCGAACTGCTGACCCTGAGGATAGCAGCCCGATTGGTAACCACTACGCTACCTGATTGCTTATTTTAATTGTGTGTAGACCATTTACCATTGTCTGCTACTTTTGCTTATTGTCTGTTTTCTCCTGAAGGTTGTAAACTCCAGAAGGGCTTTGTCTGTCTTCTTCTCTTGTTTACTCCTAGTGCCTAGAACCTGGTGTGGCGCAGGCTCTCAGTAAAGGTGTATTTTGAACACAGAGTTAGAGGTGGAAGTAGCCCCTGTCTGATGAGCTACCCAGAGGACCCAGTGGTGCTCAAAATGTTTGAGCTGGAGCAAAAAACCTAGTGCCATTAAGTTGTTTCCAACTCATGGTGATGCTGTTTCTGAAGCTTCTCTTTACTTACGGGAACAGAAAACCTCATCTTTCTCTTGAGGTGTGGCTGTGGGTTTGAACTGCCAACCTTGTGGTTAGCAGTCCACTTTTTATCCTACAGTGCTGAAGAGTTTTTATTCTTTGTTGTTCCTTCGAAACTGGATGCAAATAACTTTGTGTATGTGCTGTGGTGAAGTTCAGAGAGACTCAGAGCTTGCTCTTAAAATTAAGAGCCCACTTGGGCCAATAAGGAAGCCCTGGGTGGCACAGCTGACTAAAGGCTTGACTTCTAGTTAAAAGAAGTCAAGTTTGTTGGTTTAAACCCACCCAACAGGGTCTCCGGAGACTGCCTGGCTTCTGAAAGGTCACAGCCTTGAAAACCTTATAAGCACAATTCTACTTTTGATGGCAGCTGATTTGGATTTTTTGGTTTTCAGCCATTAACCCCTTCCTCCAATAGGATGGGTAGGTGGGTGGTTGGTGGGAAACCCTCAGGAAAGTATAGGAAACACTGGCAGTATCTAGCCAAAGCTTTGCACCATACATTTTCAAATCTCATGAAACTTCTGAAAAAAAAAAAACAAACATGACAGGGCAAAGTTTGCAATAACTTTGCACTTCCACTACCTGAATCCTGAGTGGATTCCTGCTAGGGAACAAAGTCCATAGAAGACAGATCATGTGTCCCAATTTTTTAGCGTTTTGCATTCCGCCTCTTCCCTCTGTGTCCACCAGAGGGCGAGAGATGGCTCCTACTGAGAGGCTGAGCTCCACAGTACAGCCTGGGCAGGGGCCGCCGCACGTAACTTCAGTGGCACCATTTCCGGCGCAGTCTGTTTACCGAGGGCTCTTGCCAGGCTCTGAGTAAATAACAGCTACACTTACAGTGTGCTTATTATGGACCTGAGGACCGTTCTAAGTACCCCACCCCTCCTTTCCCTTCCCCTCCATAAAAAACCCTTATGGCCAAGTATATTCTCTTATCGACCATACAATACAGGACGGAGTAGAATTGCCCCGTAGAGTTTTCAAGGCTGTAAATCTTAACAGAAGCAGACGTCTATCTCCCACAGAGCAACTGGGGAGCTCCAATCTTTCAGCTAGCAACTGAGTGCCTAATCACTGTGCCACCAAGGCTTCTGAAGTGTTTTGCCTAGATACATTCAGTCCTCACAGTCAACCCAAGATACTATCCATATTTTACAGATAAGGAACTGGGCACAGAGTGGTTAAGCAACTTGCTTAAAGTCACACAGTTTGTTAAGTGGTAGAGTCAGGATTCAGACCTGTCTTATCCAGTTTGTGCCCTTGACCACTAGGATACACTGCCTCTCACTTGGTTTAATGGCTAACACCAAGTAAACACAAGTAAATACTTGATAAATGGTTGCTTTTATTTTATTTTATTTTAATCAGGGCAGTGGTGATTTAGTGGTCGAAATCTCTCCTTCCCTGCGGGAGACCCTAGGTTAATTTCTGGCCGACGCCCCTCATGTGCATTCACCACCGTCTGTCACTGGAGACTTGCGTGTTGCTATGATGCTGAGTAGGTTTCAGAGGAACTTCCAGACTAAGAAGCACTATGGAAGAAAGGCCTGGTGATCTGCTTCCTAAAATCAGCCAATGAAAACAATGGTCCAGTTTACACAGATCATGGAAATGACGCAGGGTCAGACAGCATTGTGTTCTGTTGTGCATGGGGTTGCCATGTGACGTACTCACTTTCCTGTGAACGAGATGCATTGATTTACATTTATTATGGTTCGGTGCCATCTAGTCAATTCTGACTCATAGAGACTCGGTGTAGAGTCATAAGAAGAAAGCATAACAGGTTGGTAACACTGGTTGTCGGCCTTGGGTGGAAGAGAAGGGAGTGGGGAGAACTGAGGCATGAGTGTGCAGTAGGCTTCGCATAAGTCACTGCCTCGTACCTCTGGATTACTGAGAAACATGAATGTTTAACAAGTCAAAAGCAAAGAGATGAAGTAATTGTCCCTCTCTGCATTCTCCACACACCTTGAAGGCTGGCTGCAGTGCCACCAGGCTGCCTGGCGACGGACAGACGAGCACTGGAGATGTGTCCCTGCAGGAGCCCCCCTCGTACCCTCCCGTTCAGGTCATCCAGGCCCGCGTGTCTTCCAGCAGCTCTTCTGAGGTCTCCTCCATCAACTCTGACCTGGAGGTAGGCAGCCGCTGCCCGCTGGGTGGGTGCATGGTATTCTCGCTTGCTGACACTTGCTGGTGCCCCTTTGTGCCTGCACTGCTGTTCTAGTCTCACCTCAACCCCGTCGTTAACGGAGACCTGTCGGGGAGGAGGGCTGCCCTTACCCCATGCAATTCCTGAACCATGTCTGTACTGAGAGAAGGGTTCCACAGGCAAATCCTCCTGGGAGACACTGCTTAGTGGAGTCTGGTCTTAAGGAATATGCACATTCAAGCCCTGCAGAAATGAATGAGGAGTAGCTGGTGAGTTTGAACTGCCGACCTTTTGGTTCGCAGTCCAGTGCTGATCCTACAGCACCACACATGGAAGTTCCCAGGGGACAAGGTCACACTTTTAAAATTAGGTACATGGAAATGAATACTTTTGTATGTGTTAAAAGAGAAATCTTTTTAGAAGCTCAGCTGCCCCAACCCCACCTTCCTCCCAGCGTGGTCCTCCTGTTTCATTCCCTAGAACATACTAACATGACAAGTGGCAAAGCTGCTGAGGTCTTGCAAAATGGTAAATTTCATTTTCTATGTTTTTTTTCTGTTGTGGTAAATGTGCAGGTAACAAAACATTTGCCATTTCTACAGTCTTAACTGATATCAATTCAGTGACATCTGTTCCATGTATCCTGTTGGTTAGCCCTCACCCTTTTCTGTCCCCTAAATTTTCCATCACTCCTAACAGAAAGAAGCTCAAGGTCCCCTAAGCATTGTGTCTTCCTTTCCCCTCCTTCCCACCCACAACTTGTTGTTGTTGTTAAGTGCCCTGGAGTTGGTTCTGACTCACAGCAACCCTGTATAAAGTTTCCAAGAAGTGACTGGTGGGTTTGAACCACTGACCTTGAGATTAGCAGTGCAGTGTTTATCCTACAGCACCACAACAGGACTTTTCCATGGCTGGTAGCCACTAAAAAACTTTGATGTCTATTCACTTGGGTAAATGAAAGTGTGATGAATCATTCATAGTAACTATTAAACAAGATTCTATAACCCCAGAACATTGTTCAGTCTCTGAGCGAGAGGAGGCGCAGCTTTTTTCAGGTATGTGACCAAGGGGGCGCCTTCTGGTAAAATCTATATATTCTTAAAAGTACCCGCAAAAAAGTTTGTGGAAATTTTTCATTATCTTTTTGTCCCATTTTTCCACGAACTTTTTGAAGCCCCCTTGTACATGATCTTTCTAGAACATCAGGAAAACAAAGAAAATGTAAAGACCAAAATAAAACCTAATATGAAAAGTTACCAACCAAGGGCTGCCTCCAGCTCAGATGGGATTGTGGGTACTCGCCAGACACCTGTCTTTTGAAGCAGTAGTAATGCTGCTGGTTGGTCTGTGAATGAATGAGAATGAGAAGGGTCTTGAAGGAGATTAGTTTAACCTTGGACTTCACGTGTCCACTTGATTATCTCATTCAATAAACTTTCTCCGAGGGGGAAAACTTGAAAAAAATAAAATAAAAATGTGTGAATACAAATGGACTGGCTGGAACCCACATCAAAGTGTGGTTTTGTTTGCTACCATGAATGTAGCCCCCATTATGCTCCATAGTAGGAGTCCTGATGTCGCGCTGTAAAATAAGCACTGGACCGCAAGGTTGGTTTGAGCTGCAAGATTGGCAGTTCGAACCTACCAGCCACTCCTTGGAAACCCTATACAGGGTCACCATGAGTTGGAGTCAACTTGATGACACTTAACAACAACAGTGATCCCTCGTGTTTTTATTGACTGATAGAAAGTTAAGAAAATGAAAGTCACCAGACTTTCATCCTAGTCCTTCTTAGTCTGGAAGCTTCACTAACAATCGCTCGGCATCATAGCAATATGCAAGCCTTCACTGAGGGAGTGGGGTGGCTTTTCGTGAAATGCACTGTCCAGGAACCAAATCCAGGTCTCCCTAGTAGAAGGCGAGAACTCTACCATAAGGCTCCACCAAAAGCTCCCACTGAGTGGCAGTTACTTGGAGTGTCTGATCCTGCCCCCTGACTCTTGAGACCACACTAGTAAGGGACTGAAGCACACAGATGAAGGCCAGCTGGGACTTTAATAGTCACTTCCTCTGACTATTGAGTGGTAGTGCTCCTGAGTTTTCTAATTCAAACATTTTATATCACTGGGCTCAGAAACCCCATGTGTCTATCCACATTCTTAGGTTCCAGAATTCCACTAAGGTTAGCTCGCGTTCCCTCGGCCACCTCCCCATTGTCCATGTCTGTTGCTGTCCAGCCTGGCTTCTGTATGGCCACTTTGGTAGCTATTAGAATTTTCTTCAGCTCCCCGCTGTGGAGGCCTGGGTGCCACTCAGTGTCTTTAAGGTGAGGTGGTGATCTCTTCTGTGGTCTTTCACGATCTTATCATTTTAACTCCTAGATAGTTGTTCTTTGTGTCTGTTCTTGGGAGATTCCATACCCCACCTGTCTTTTCGTTTGTTTGTTTTGAACTTTTTCATTGTAATTTGGGTGAAAGTTTACAAAGCAAATTAGTTTTTCTTCAACGATTGATACACATTTGGGATGTTGGTTGCAAACAGCACTCTTCTCGCTTCCTCCCTGAGTTCTTAATTCCCATTTGCTCTTCTCTCCTGCCCTTTCTTGCCTTTTTCTTTGAGTTCTGTTTTTGGGTAAATGCTGCCATTTTTGTCTCTCACAATTGGTGGTTCTGAGGCACGCATTCCTCCCTGGTGGTATTCACTTTATGGGCCTGTCTGTTGTTTGGCACCCCAAGTGTGTTCAGTGCCCGCTTTGTGCCCTAGGGGAGGTGGAAAACTGAGTAGTGCCTCCACAAGGCATTGTTTCCCCAGTACCTAGCTCACAGAGTGTTCTGAAGTCCATTACTAACACTAGCCATGGCTAGCAATGGCTGTGTGCAGGGCATGCTCCAGGCTGCTGGCAGGCAGGGTAGGTAGGCACAGGCACTGTTTGGTTTTATCTTCTTAACAGTTCTGAGTTAGGTGCTATTGTTATTCTTATTTTTTGGAAGAGGTGACTGGCTCAGCAAGGTGAAAGAAGTGGCCCAAGAGACCATAATAAAAATAAGGTGACTGACCTGAGATTTGAACCAGCTGTCTGATTCTGAATTTCCAAGGCTCTTAGCTGCTATATTTCACTGCCTGGGTACATGCTTATACTCAGGCAGGTATGCAAGACTGAATTTAGTATCCATTGTTGTCATTAAAGGAGCTCTGGTAGCGTAGTGGTTACGAATCAGGCTGCGAACCTCAGGGTCAGCAGTTTGAAACTACCAGATGTTCCGCAGGAGAAAGATGGGGTTTTCTGCTCCTGTAAAGATTTACAGCCTTGGAAACTCTATACAGGGTCACTATGAGTTGGAATCGACTCCACGGCACATTGCAACAACAACATTGTCATTTAAGAGGCTCAGTGGGCTAATGCATCAGACTGCAAAGCCATTTGAACTGCTAGGTCAGTGGTTCAAGCTCACCAGCTGCTCCATGGAAACCCTCTACAGGGTCGCTATGGGTCGGAATCAACTCGACAGCACTTCACAACAATATTATCATTTAGAGGAGGCCTGGTGGGGCCCTGTGGGCTAATGCCCTGGACTACAAAGTCAGTTTGAACCACAAGCTCACCAGCCGCTCCTTGGAAGCCCTATACAGGCTCGTTATGAGTTGAACTGACTCGACAGCACTTAACAACAGCAACAGCATTGTCATTTTTGATAACATAGTGGGTAACACGTTAGGCTACTAACCTCAAGGTCAGCAGTTTGAATCCACCAGCCACTCCTCAGAACCATGAGATTTTCTGCTTCTGTAAAGATTTACAGCATTGGAAACCCTAAACAGGGTCTCCGAGTCAGAAGTAACTACAGTACGCAATAGCAGCAGCTCTGCAGGAACTCTGGTGGCGTAGTAAGTTGTGCACTGGACTGCTAACCGCAAGGTCAGTGGTTCAAATCCACTAGTCACTCCTAGGAAGAAAGATGAGGCTTTCTGTTCCTATAAAGATTTACAACTTTAAAACCCTATACAGGGTCGCTATGAGTCGGAACCAACACAACAACTGCAACAACATTTCCATTTTAGAGATGAGAAAACTGAGTCTCTGCCTGTTCCCAGACAGCATCAGTCTAATAGGAAAGATAAAGCAAGTGGAATTTACAAACAATTCCAATGATGGCTTTGTAGGAGAAAGGGCGAGGATATGGCAACAGACCGAGAGAAAGGGTGAGGACAGAGAGAGAGAGAGAGAGAGAGAGAGGGGCTTTTAGGAGTGGTCTTCTCACCTTCCAAGGTCGGTCAGCACACTGTCTCACGGGAGAGGGTAGGCGTGCCCCAGTGCTGGGACTGCTAAAGGTTCTATGTTTCACCCCAGTTTTTACTTGATGGGAGGCAGGGAGACTTTAAAAGCTGGGAGAGGACCCAACATGAGCTTTGTGAAAGGTCTGAAGAGTGCTACTCCGATGTCTTTGTCGAGTTTCACTTTTTTAGCCTATGAAACTCAAGAAAAGATTGAATCCAGCTTCATAACAAAAGAGTATTTAGTAATTTTTCCTTCTCCTTTTGTGCTTCCCAGCAATGCCACAGAGCTGGTCTAAGAAACGTTATAGGAATTCTGCACGGAGGCTGCATGCGCAGAGTGACTGAGACTCGAACTGGTGTGCATAAGTATGCACATGTCTGGGGAGCGATGCAGACAGTCGAACAGCAGATGACTGTGGTGTGAGGAGGGTTAAGTCTCAGGCCCACATGGCCCTGCTCATTTTGTGCCTCAGGCTCCTGAGAACCACAACTGCTTATTCCCTGTCCAAACCTGCTCCCAGCACCAGCCAACCAGGGCAGATGCTCTTGGACTTTCGCCATTCTTAAAGCCACATCATTCTTTTAAGGAAAGAAAGAAAAAGTGTGTATTTTTCTAAGTAAGTGCTCATTTTAGAAAAAGAAGAAAAAAGCAAAACGATAAAAGTATGATGCAAGAGTTCAGAGCATTCTGATTGGGACCTGGTCTCTGCTCTCTCTAGGTCTGTTTTTCTCCCTAGGAAAGTGGAGTCACCTGCCATGAAATAGTGAGAGACAATACAGTATAATCCACTCCAAAATGTGGGGGGCAGCCAGCTGGTCCCACTGGGATAAGGAAAGAGACTTCCTAGGGCCCCCAAAGGACTGTGCAGGAAAAGGAGTGCAGATTCGGGAGCCAGGCATACACAGGCTGGGTTCTTGCCTGCCAACTGGCCCGGGCCTGCTCTGCACTCCTTTTCGTTATTCCCTCTTTACAGTGGGAACCATGATCTCTGCCTACCTCTGTCCCTGAGGGACTGTGAGGATCAAATCATGGTTCTGCAGGTGCTTTACAAGATTACCAAGCACAGTACAAGCCTGTGTAGTACAAAATGGACTAGAAGTGGTGAGCCTGCACTCCAATACTGACTTAGGTTCTGAGCCTCAGTTACTAGGCAGCATTCATTCATTTCCCTGGACCTGCTCTGAAAGTCGGAAAGTGGAGCTATTGATCCCCACAAAGGGAATGTGAAGGGGCACTATACAGGAGAGCTTTGTTCACATGCATGCTGTTTGTGAAACTCCAGCTTTGGACTGGGGCCATCTTTAAGGTTCCATTTAACAACATGGCCCTCAGATTGTTGGATGAAGTAGGTGGAGGTTAACTGTTGTTATTAAGTGCCACTGAGTCAGTTCCGACGCATAGCGACCCTGGATAGGATTTCCAAGGAGAGGCTGGTGGGTTTGAACAGCCGACCTTGTGATTAGCAGTTCAGTACTTATCCTATAGCACCACACCGGGACTCTGGAGGGTATCTACACTAAGTAAATTCTTAGTAAGAGGAAGGCTTCCAGTATCAAGGTAGCCTTGTTTTGCTCTGATTAACCTTTCTGTGTTCCTGATGAAACTTCCTCTTACTAAGAATTTATTTAGTTCAGATACCCTCCAGAGTCCTGGTGTGGTACAGTAAGATAAGCACTGGACCGCAAGGTTCAGTCTCACCAGCCGCTCCTTGGAAACCCTGTACAGGGTCGCTATGAGTTGGAGTCAACTGGATGGCACTTAATAACAAGGTCCATAGAGTTAGGATTATTGGATATCTTTATTTTATTTGACACTTTATAATGAATATTCCTCTCCAAATAGGGAAGACTATATCTTTTTTTATTTTTAGTTTGGGGTATCTGAGATGAGTGGCACCTCAGTAACAGATTTGGGTTCATTGTACTTCTCAGTCATATTTAGGAGTCCTGGTGTATCACTGCAGGTTAAGGCACTGGACTGCAAGGTCAGTTTGAACCTCAAGGTTAGTGGTTCAACTTCACCAGCCGCTCCTTGGAAACCCCATGCAGGGTCACACTGTGAGTTGGAATTCATTCTATGGCACTTAACAACAAAGTCATATTTAAAATAACTTTTTAAATAAATCCTGACTATAAAGGAGCTTTGATAGCGTAGTGGTTACGAATTGGTCTGCAAACCTTAAGGTCAGCGGTTCGAAACTACCAGCTGCTCCGCGGGAGAAAGATCAGGCTTTCTACTCCCGTAAAGATTTACACCCTCGGAAACCCTGTACACGGCACATTACACCAACAACATTGTCATTTAAGAGGCTCAGTGGGCTAATGCATCAGACTGCAAAGCCGTTTGAACTGCAAGGTCGGTGGTTCAAGCTCACCAGCTGCTCCTTGGAAACCCTGTACAGGGTCGCTATGGGTCAAAACCGACTCAACGGCACTTAACAACAAACAACAACAAACTCCACCAGAGGGCACTCTTCTTAAATTTTAACCACTTTTGAAGCAGGAGATTTGGGAAGGAAGTTTCATATCAATCCAGTTGCAAATATAGTATAATGTTGTTTTGTTAAGTGCTGTCAAGTCAATTCTGACTCATAGTGACCCCGTATAGAATTTCCGAGGAGCAACTGGTAGATTTGAACTGTGTGGGTCACAGTCCAATACTGACCCTATAGCACCACACCAGGAGTCCAAAGAGTTTTCTGTAAATCCTTAGCAGTTTTCCTTGTTGTTAACATTTTACGTAAGATGTTTCGTCAACACCAAGAAATTCATGTTGGTCCAACAGTATTTACTAAACTATAGGGCTGTGTTGGGGATTCACCAGTTTATGTTACAGGATCAATTCATAGTATTCCATTGCATTTAGTAAACATTTTTCGCAAACAAACAAAATTCCCACTCATTCACTGTGGTAACCACAAGTTATCATTCATATTCTGCATGAACCTACAATTTTTAAAGAAAGGTGCAGGTTGACTTTTTTTCAAAGAAAAATCTCTTTATATTTCTAATATGTTTATAAAGGTTGCTCAGTTTTTTCAGTCCTGCCTTTTACAGCATATTTCTGTCTGTGCAATGTGTATGGAGCCATCAGTTTTAGTAATTTTATGTCTCCAATAAATCTTTCTTTTTACATTTTAAATTAATCTTTCTCCAAAGCAGGATGATACTAAGAAATTATCATTAGTTTTGTATCATGCAGTGTTACAATGAGTCAGAAATTAACTAGTCAGTGACAGGTTAACCATGTTGAGGATTAAAAAGAAAATGTCCTTATTTGAGAAACATGCAAAAGTATTTATCAATGAAACGATTTATTAGAAATACCTCAGAAGTTTAACAAATGGAGAGATAGATAATTAAAAGAGGGTGTATCCATGAGTGTTCATTATATTACTCTTTTTCTTTTGTATATGATTGAAAGTTGTTTAAAATGAAATTTAAATGTTTACAGTAAAGGCTTTTTTGAAAATGTGATAGTAACCCCCAAATCCTGTTGTCTGCTTATATTTGCTGTTACTTATATTTCACAGACTTCTGTAGACCAGGAATTCTCTGTAAATATGGTTTCCCACATACTCTGAGTCCTGGTGGTAAATGGTTAAGCACTTGGCTGCTAACCAAAAGATTGGTGGTTTAGACCTACTAGCTATTCCAAGCAAGAAAAGACCTACAGTCTGCTCTCATAAAGATGTTGTTGTTGTTGTTGAAGTGCCATCGAGTCGGTTCTGACCCATAGTGACCCTGGATAGGGTTTCTGTGGAGCAGCTGGTGAGCTTGAACCACCGACCTTGCAGTTCTAACGACTTTGCAGTCTGACACATTAGCCTATAGTGCTATACCAGGACTTCCCCATAAAGATTACAGCCTAGGAAACCCTTTTGAGCAGTTCTATTCTGTCATACGGGGTCACTATGAGTCAGAATCCGCTCTTCAGCACACAACAACAGGCACCTTGTGATGTGTTGAGGAACAAGAGCGGACCATGCAAGAACCTGACTCAGACATATTTGAGGCTTGAGGTGGGACCAACCATGCAGTAAATGCTGATTCAACATGTATCTTGGCTGGTAGTAAATATCCCCTATTGGCAAAGTGAGAATTTTATGTGCATCTCTCTTTATTAGTTTTATGGATTTGAGTTGAGTCATGTCAGCCATGTGGTTACTAAGTGGGAGATTTATTATTATGACTCTTTGATATCTAGTGCTGCTTTAACTAAAATATCACAAATGACTGGCTTTACCAAACCGAAATTTATTTTCTCACAGGAGACTAGAAGTCTGAATTTAGGGTGCCGGTTGTAAAGAAAGGTTTTCTCTCTCTGTTGGCTCCAGAGGAAGGTCTTTGTAACTTTGTGCTTCTGTCCTGGGTGATCTTCATGTGGCTTAGCATAGCTCTTCTCCCATACCTGCCCTTCTCCCTTATTTCACCTCCTCCATATCTCCAGAGACTGACTTAAGACACACCCTAAAATTACCCCATTCCATCGACATAACAAAGACAACCCACCCCCCAAGTGGGATTATAACCTCAGACATAGAGGTTAGGATTTACAACACATATTTTGAGGGGACGTAATTCAATTCATAACGTGCCGAATGATCATTTCTAATATTAAAAATCCATTTTTAAATCTATATAATTTCCCCAAGGACCTGCATCCCTTCATAATTATCATAAGTATCCTCTTAGCTCTAAGGAAACTGAGACCTATAGTAGCTGCTGCCTGCCTGCCTGCCTGCCTGCTTGCTGAAGTCAGCTGTGCCTTGGCTCCCAGCATCACGTAGGGACCTGCCTCCTGATTGGCGCTGAGCTGTGCTCTGCTCTGCTCTGATTGGCACTAAACTCTGCTCTGCTCTGCTCTGCTCTGTGATGGTGGCAAAAAAAAAGCTGTCCAACACTTTTTCTGTCTCTCTTTTTATTCTGCAGCAGAAGTATTGGGAGGCCCTAAACTCAGAGCAGGTATGGACTATCATGTTCTCTATTCCAGGAGAAACTTCCTGTGGCTTGATTTCACTTCCTGTATTTTTGTTTGTTTGGTTTGAATTTTTATTGTTACCTGTTCAAGACCTAAAGAAGCAATAGAGACCTTTAGAAATGACTGGACTGTTTTATCTTTTGGGGGAAAAAAAGCGCATGCTTTTTGAAAAACAGACTTTCTTTTATTTTTTTGTTTCATTGTTGAGAATTTACATAGCAGAGCATATACCAATTCAATAGTTTCTACATGTACAATTCAGTGACATTGATTAAATTTTTCAAGTTGTGCAACCATTCTCTTCACCTTCCTTTTCTGAGTAGCTCTCCCCACTTACATAAATTCACTGCCCACTACATTTCATGTTTAATCTTTGATCCTATATAGATAGATCTTGAAAGAGCTCAATGCTCAAGACAGACATTCTTTACAAGTTAAACTCGTAAACCAAACTATTTTTTTGTTTTGTTTTCAGAACACTCTTAGAGATTTTTAGCTTAAGGTTTAAAGATTATCCCAGGTCAATAGTTTTGGGGGTTCATCCAGCCTGATGACTCTAGTAAGTCTGGAGCACTTGAAAGATTGTTCTATATTTTCCCCCTTTTGATTCAGATTCTTCTATAGCATCTTGGATCACAATGCTCCGTAATGGTAGCCGGGCACCATCCAGTTCATCTGGTCTCCTGGCATAGGAGGCAGTTGTTCCTGGAGGCAATTAGCCACACATTCCATTTCCTCCTCTTATTCCTATTAATCACATTAAGGATTGGTTTGCACAGCTGATTAAGACAATTGCAGTCAATAAGTTGTACATTTGTAAAATATTGAATTAGCAAAAGTTGTGTGATAAGTATTTTTATAACAATGACCCCCCCACACCCACACCCACACACAAAACACACACACACACAAAAAAAAATCAGCTTCAATGGCTGCTTCTGTACAACCAAGTACCTCATGGATTTGGGTCATGGTTTCATGGGACATCTTAGTTGACTGTCCTAATAACATGTTTAACGCTTCTGGTCTAACTCCTAGTTCACTGCCTAATGTCTTGAGTCTTACAAGTGACCATCCAGATCAGAACTTGACTAGAGGACAATAAAAAATGAAGGAAACAAGTGTAAATTGCTACAATTTGATGAATTTGACCTATATTTATGGATGTAGTAGCTCAAAACACCAACTGAGAAGGAAGGAGTCTTCACATCCAAAATCAATCCTATCCCCTCTGTATACGGGGTTGATAGGGATGCACAACTTAGACACTGGCCACCTTAAATGTGAGGGGCTATAAAGGCAAGAAGTGACTGGCTTACAGGTTTTCAAGGGGAGTTTAGTTTCAGAGTGTGATGGGGAAGGTAGAATCCCCAATGAATCTTGTCTAGACAGGTCTGGTGAAAGGAGATGGGGATGAGACTCTTATGATTTAATAGTGAGCAATTGTTATCATAAGGAGTTCTGGTAGCTGGTTATGAATTGGGCTGCAAACCAAAAGGTCAGCAATTTGAAACTACCAACTGTTCCGTGGGATAAACATAAGGCTTTCTGCTCCTGTAAAGATTTACAGCCTGGGAAACCCTGTACAGGGTCGCTATGAGTTGGAACTGACTCCACAGCACATAACAACAACAACAACAACAACAACAACAACAAATTGTTATCATGGAGTACTGGTGTGGCGCTGTGGGTTAATGCGCCAGACTGCAAAGCCATTTGAACTGCAAGCTTGGCGGTTCAAGCTCACCAGCTGCTCCTTGGAAACCCTATACAGGATCGCTATGGGTCGGAATTGACTCGACGGCACTTAACAATAGCAACAACAACAATTGTTATCATGGTGGTGATGGTGTGTCACGGAGTGGGTCCCAACTCATAGCGAGCCCACATAGGGTTTCCGAGGCTGTAAATCTTTACGGGAGCAGAAAGCCTCATCTTTCTCCCACAGAACAGCTGGTGGTTTCGAACTGCTGACCTTGAGGTTTGCAGCCTGGCTCATAACCACTACGCTACCAGAGTCATTTGAACTGCAAGATCAGTGGTTCAAGCTCACCAGCTTCTCCTTGGAAACCTTATGCAGGGTCCCTATGGGTCAGAATCGACTCGATGGCACTTAACAACAATAAAAACAATTGTTATCATGACTAATTGTGACTGTCAAAATTGTAAAAGTAGAAGTTTTGTAACAAAAAGAGGGGAGTAGTTAATCTTACAGTCAGTCCAGGGACAGAGAACCTTAGGGCCATCGGGGGAGAGGAGCACGAGCGGAATGTGGGACCCTATGCAGAGAAGCAGTGACACCAGAGATGGAGGCAGAGATGGGGACATAGAGAGAGGGAGCAGCTGAGGACTCTAGATTCATGGAAAGAGAAAGGCTGTGTGCTGGCAGCCAGGTGCTGGTGGCCATGGGGCAGTCTTGCAGAATGTGTCCTTTGGTTATTTGTTGTTGTTGTTAAGTACCGTGGAGTCGGTTCCAACTCATAGTGACCCTGCACAGGGTTGTTTAAATGATTATATTTATTCCTGAGTGTTTCTGTGTACATCCCCCCCCACCAAAAAAAAAAAAAACCAAAAAAAACCCCCAGAGGGAATAGAAGTAAATACCGTTGAATGATGGTGCACAGAGTAGATTGTAATCATTGCAATGAAACGATGAGTGTAAAACCTGATGTAAACTAATCACTAAATTCACAATAAAAACTTTAAAACAAACAAAAAGTGACCATCCAACACTCAACAGTTGGTTGAAGCAACAGAGAAAGAGTTAGTTTCTGTTTTTACTAGAAATCCCCTGAATAGCTAGACCCATGCCATATTCCTTTAGAAAAACAGAATGTAAAAATGAGAAGCAAGTCTTAGGATCAGTGGGATTTTCAGGGATCTCTCAAGTCAAAGTTCTTTCTGCTTGTGGCGGGGGGTGGGGGGGGGGGGGGGGGGGGGTGGTGTCCAGATAAGCTCAAATCAGCAAGTAGGGACTCAGAGAAGATGCATAACTCAATGAGAGACAGGTTTCGGAAACAAACTCTATGGACAAGCCTAGTAACTGCAGATTAGTGATGGTAACAGTGCTGGGAGCGGCTGTAGTAGTTGTTAAAATCGACATTCCCACATGCTGTCATTCTGAGACCTTGGGCAGCTGGCTGCTGTTAGCATGCCACTCTTGCCTCCGAGTGACAGATGTACGTGTGTTTCAAGACAATGTGTCACCTCCCAAGATTGTTTCTGATAACAAAGCAGATTATCCTTTCTCATGTTGTCTTTTGCCTGGATTCCAGCATTGTTTTTAATGACTTGCTGATATTTTTAAACACATTTTGGGGGGATTCAGGACGCAAAGGTTTAAATTGTTTTATGAACAGTAAATCACATCAAGTAGTTCACTTAATTTAGGTGGCAGGTTGTTTCTGTTTGCAGGCAGCTGAATTTTTAGGATGAGTGGAGTCCTGGTGTGACACTGTAGGATAAGCACTGGACTGCTAACCGTACCTTGGAAACCCTCTACAGGGTCGCTAGGAGTCAGAGCCTCGGAAACCCTATACTACGTCACTAAGAGTCGGGATCAACTTGACTGTACAGCACACCAGCAACAGAATAATTACTCTTAGGCAACCATTTGAGGAGCTCGAGCAGTGGTTCCCAAACATCAGGGCGTCTAAGAACCACCCAGACCATAAGAATGGCAGAGGACCAGGCAGTGTTTCCTTTTGTTACACATGAGGTCGCCATGAGTCAGAGCTGGCTCCATGGCAACTAACAACAACAGCAACAAAGAATCCCAGCCCCCACCCCCCAGCGCCTGTCAAAATGTCAATCATCTGGTTGCTACCCACAGACAAGGGCTGGGTGAACTCCCAGTGTGAGCCTTTCTAATGAGCAGCCTGGGTGCTTCTGGTTGATCCTGAGCACAGCCAGAACTGTGATCTAGAACATGAGCCAGAGCTTGGAAACAGCATTCATCAAAATGAACACTGTCCATTCTCAGAGAACAAAACAGGCCCTCAGTTCTGCCATTAGGCAAGTTGGGTCACGTAGGTTGAGGGACTGGGCTAACCTTTTCCCTTGGATTCTTTGAAAATGTCAGGAAGGAATTTGGTGAGAGGTATCCAGCAAGATCTGCAACCACAAGCAAATGAGAAGTTAGCACCAGCATTGGCTGGCACAGCCCCAAAGAGGTAGAGGGGGCAGCTGAGCTGCTGAACCAAATTAGCCTTCAGGATCGCTGGGGATGAGGTGAGAAAGTAGTAGAGCTCCATTACTATCAGTAAATCACTAGTTGGATTGGGTTCATTTTGTGTTCAAAGTTTGTGGGCATGACTGGTAAGTGGCTCAGGAAATCTTAAACACCTGTCTGGCGCAGGGCCTCTAAGAACAGGAAGGACTATGTAATTCAACATAAGTTTGAGTAGCTCATGGCATGTCTCTCTCTCTCTCCTTTGTAAATGTTTTAGTGTGAATTATGTGATAGTTTACATGGGAGAACATTAGCTTTACATTCATCCTATCGTATATCATTTCATTGCCATGATTACAATCCCTCCATGCATCATCAACCAACCAAAGGGTATACCCTGCAAGCCTTCACCCTGGTCGTCAGCACACAGCCCCTCTCCCTCTCTGGGTCCACAGTCCCCAACTGCTCCATTTCTCCATGTCATCGTCTCTACCTCCATCTCTGGCGTCACTGTTTCTCTGGGTAGGGCCCCACACTCTGCTCTTCTCCCTTCATGGTCCCAGGGACATCTGCTCCTAGACTGCAAAGTCAATCACTCCCCTCCTTTTGCTACAAAATGTCTACCTTTACATTTCCAACCCTCACAGTCAGTCCTAATAACAATTATTCACTATTGTACCACAAGGGACATATCCCCATCTCCTTTCATCAACCCTGCCCAGACAGATTGGATACTACTCAGTGGAGATCCTATCTTCCTCCACGCCCTCTGGATCTAGGCTCCCTCTTGTAAGCCAATCACTTCTTGCCTTT